TATATATATATATATATATATATATATATATATAAAATATATAAAAATTGTCATGTGGGTACTTAAATGAAAGGTCTTGATGAGTGAAACATCAGGATGAGCTTATATCTTTAAAAATGTCAATATTTAAGAAAGTACAGTGCAATTTAACAAAAGTCATTATTTAATAAACCAAAATGAAAAAAAATCAATTGCAACTATTACTGATTTTTATAAATATTCTCTCTATAAATTTCTAAGTAATAATATCCTTATAATAACTTATTCATTAATATAATTTTTAATTTTGTATTGCCATAAAGGTCTTTGCTCGCTAACCGAGGACGGTCTGTACAGCCAGCTAGTTCTGCTAGGCTCAGAGCAAACTCGGACGGCAAATGTGGTTCATATATTCCAACTGAGTCCAGGAATAAATTTACTGACCATCATGGAAGTGACCAACCAGGCGATATCTTCCGGACTTTACGAGGGCTTTTATCACCTGAATGTCGCGAGTTCTCTGCAATCTCAAAGAGACTTTGACGAGCTGCGGCCGAGCTTCGATTCATTTGACTCTGCGATTAAAAAAACTGTTGATGGGATCAAGAAATACCGGTCGCATGTCAACAACGACGTGGACATGTGCCAACGCAGGCTCCAAGTAAAGTGGGAGTTCTTGAGGCGCAAGTACATGGACTTCTTCAAGCAACACGACTCGGAATCTCTCCTGCAAATAGAGTCCAACATGCCGGGACTAATTGATACCATGACAGAGTTACTCAGGCTGACTTGCTTCGACAGGAGTGTCTTAAAACTCGGCTGCGATGTTATTGTCACAGTCAGCAGGCTAGTGCGCCAGAAATTCAATGACTTCAGCGACTTTCTTAAAGTCAAAGCGCTGAAAAATTTCTCACTTGGATCATATCCTTTTGATAGTATTTTTTTTTGGTATCAGGCGTCTTGATCCTCCGACAAAATATCCCCGATAAAATATCCCCTATGACAAAAAATAAATTATAAATTATAAATAAATAAAAAATAAAATTATTAAAGGACACAATGATAAAGCGGCTGCCCAATTTTAAAACATAGTAACTGCAAAATTTTTATACTTAATTTTTTTTAATATTACTGCATTTTTTTTATAACTTTTTTTATACCTTAATTTCAAGTATTTTTTTTTTTTTTTAATATTTATATTCAAGTATTTTCTATTCATAAATAAAATTTTTCATCAATTTGGCAAGCTAACTTTTGTTTAATAAGAAAAATTTTTTAAAATTTTACCTAGATTGTAATGGCCTATTTAGGATTAATTGTTGGGAACTTTTTGCCATGGGGATAATTTGTCGGAGGATCAAGAATCATGGAACCTTTTTTTTAGCTGGTATATGGTTTAGGTATCTGCTTAATGTATTTCATACGCAATGCTTGTTGTATTATTCCTTAATGTGTTGTCTGTATTTACGAGAACTTCCCTAACAATCAACAAATATCTTGAAGAGTTTCCCGGGCTGGTGCACTTTATTTACATCGACCGCTCCACTCACCGGCTCACGGCGCCCACGTTGGATTTTACTAATTTGGAAACTCTCGCGCTGACGAAGAAGAAAATTTGGGCGATGATTGATCAGAGCAGGAATCATCTTCAGGAAGGACACTTTTCGGTTATGTGGAAGGATACTACTTTTAATTACGCGTATTTTCTTTGGTTTGAAGATAGCTCTGTAAGTAAAGACACTTTAGCTACTAGACTATTGAAGAATCTACAATTTTGGTCTGATAATTTTTTGATAAAATCAATATTTTAGGAGTTATAGTCATTTTTATAGTAACTAGATAATGATTTTTCATTTTTTAATATCTGAACACTATGTAAGTTAAGGTAAAAGACCCAGTTATTGACACTTGCAATTTTATTTTAATTAAAAAAAATAAATCAAGTCTAATAAATTAATGAATATAATTTTTGAATTATAAATTTTAAAAGATAATTGATTTTTTGAGAACATTTTATTTTTTTAATTAGGATAAAATTGCAAGTGTTAAACAACTAGGCCAGTGTCAATAACTTGGTCTTTTACTTTGTATATTAAATTCTATCTCCTAAAATATTAAAGATAGACCCATAGTATAAAAACGTTTTTCGTAGAAAATTTAATAAGCTACAATTTTGGTCTTATAATATTTTGATAAAATCAATTTTTTAGGAGTTACAGCCATTTTTATAATAACTAGATAAAGATTTTTTATTTTTCAACATTTGAGCACTATTTAAGTTGCATAATAAATTATATCTCCTAAAATATTGAAGATAAACCCATAGTATAAAAACGTTTTTTGTAGGAAATTTAATAAGTTACAATTTTAGTCTGATGATTTTTCTCAAAACTCAATATTTCATGAATTATAGCTATTTTTAAAGTAACTAGATAATCATTTTTCATTTTTTACTATCTGAATAATATTTTAAGATATATATATATATATAAATTTATATCTCCTAAAATATTGAAGATAGACCCATAGTATGGGAACATTTTTTATAGAAAAATTTTTAAGCTACAATTTTGATCTCATAATTTTGCTCAAAACTCAATATTTCATGAATTACAGCCATTTTTAAAGTAATTAGATGAAAGTTAATTTAGCAGATATTAAGTAATTTTTAGAACTTTTAACAAATAAATTATGGCAAAAAAAAAAAAATTGACATCTAGAAATTTAAAAAAATTAATAATGCAATTTTTTGAAAATAATTTTTTATAATTAATTTAATTGTTAAATAAAATTAAAAATTTATCAAGTGACAGCTAACTTTAATATCATAGTAACTAAATATTAAATAATAATAGTTATTATTATCAATAAATTATTAATAATAATTTTTTTTAATGACTAAATAATATAATCATAAACATTTTATGTCTCAGGGATCTCCACTAAAATGCAAGACTTACTTAAACCAACAAATGAAAACTCTACCAGTACCAGGAATACTCTGCGGTGATTACTACAAAAAATTATCGCAAATTTACTTTCCAAAAGTGTCATCAAATAAAATGAGGATTTACGAACTCTACTGTGTTCATCTTGGCCTGGCAACGTCCTCGTGTGTCCTCGAGCACTCGCGAAGACTTGCAGCGACCATCTGGGAAATTACCGGGCTTCCTAATAACCCAGCTGATATTTTATAATGTGATTTTTTATCTTAGAAAAAAAAATTATCCGAGTCAATAATTTTATTTAATAATTTAAACAGTATTTATAAAAAATAATCAATATGAAGACTAAATTATTTTATTTCAACGTAAGAAATATTTACAACAATCCTTACAGGTCTTAAATTTTCTTTTAATAATCTTCTTTGGATAATAGACAAGTTTAAACTTTAAATTTAATAATTACTGAATTGAATAATTAATGAAAAATATATAGCTTAGTTTAAGTACTACAATCAGTCTGATTTATCAAAGGACTTTTTAGCCACACTACTGTAAGATTGTGGAACTGGAGACTGAGACTGAGATTTTTTTAAATTCTCATTATTTAAACACTTATTATTAATATTTAATGATACTGAAGGACTTAAAAGCTGACTTTCCTTGGGTCTCTTATTCTGCACTTTAGTAACAGTTACCTCGCTGGAAAATTGATAAGATTTACCGCTGGAGTCTTCCAAGCCCTTCTTTATCATCTCCGCTGGTTCACCGCTTGGGTAATTATCAATGCGCATTGGCTCTGTGTTCTGCAATCGGGTACTTTCGATTTCTCTTTGCAGCTCCTTGATTTCATTTTCTAGCTCGAGCAACTCACGATCTGATTGTAATACTGCGGCAACTAGATTCTCGAGATGACGCTCCGCTGCTTTGGATATTGTGACTATAGAGTCGTACGCTGGAGTTCTCGCGAAATCAATCCTTTAATTAAATACATTTTTTTTTATTAAACATTATTTTTTAGATAAAAAATAAATTATTGCAAGAAAAATTTTGTTTAAAAATTTTATCTTTAAAAGATTTAAACAATTATTAATGGTATTAACTAGCAACCTTGCAGTCACTATGTGCTTATTATTAAATAATGACTATGTTAAATTGAACTGTACTTTTTTAATTATTGACATTTTTAAAAATATAAGCTCATCCCGATTTTACACTAATCAAGAGCTTTCATTTGAGTACCCACATGCATTTTTTTATATATTTTTCATATATACATATATATAAATATATAAAATATATAAAAAATTGATGTGGGTACTCAAATGAAAGGTCTTGATGTGACGTGTAACATCAGGATGAGCTTATATCTTTAGCAATTTCAATAGTTCACGAAATACAAAGTAATTTTTTAATTATTGACATTTTTAAAGATATAAGCTCATCCCGATGTTACACTCATCAAGACCTTTCATTTGAGTACCCACATCAATTTTTCATATATTTATATATATTATATATGAAAAATATATCAAAAATGCATGTGGGTATTTAAATGAAAGGTCTTGATTAGTGTAACATCGAGATGAGCTTATATCTTTAAAAATGTCAATAGTTCACGAGATACAAGGCCATTTCTTCATTATAAACCCGATTTTATGACTATCTTGGGCATAAAATTTTTCTTATTCTTTTAATAATATAGATAATTATCTGTTAATTTTCAATGTCCTAAAAAATAAATAGTACTTACTGCAATTTATCAACTAATCTAGAAAAATGATCTTTTACAGCATCAACACGCTTGATAGGTGTTGGTTTATAATCAGATCCGTCAAATCTTGATGCATCTGCTCCCAAATTATTAATTTTCAGTTGGACTGGATGATGATTCCTATAAAAACAATTATATATTTATTTTTAACAGCTTTACATGTAAAAAAAACAATTTTTTTAATTAATTAAATGTCTTTTAAATTCATAATTACAAAAAAAAAAAATAAAATAAATAGTTACCCATTTTTATTATGCGAAAGCACCAATCTAAACTTATGAGTATTTTTCTTTTCAGTGACATTGTAACCCAGCATGCCAGCAATAAAATGCTGCTTATCATTATCATCATCACAAAATATATTCTCGAATTGTTTATGTAATACTTTGTCCCTCAAAGTAGGAAACAGCGAGCTATTTAATCTAAAACGATACCATCCAACAATTTCCTTCTCTCTGCCATTAACAAACTCCTTCAATTTTCCCTCATCAATTTTTCCAACTGAATTATAAATTGAGTCAGCTGACAACAGTGGCATAACTCCTCTGATATCTTAAAAAATAAATTAAAAAAAATGTAATACTAAAGTTATCCGACATTTTTAATTTTTTTATTTTTTTTTTTCAATAATTAAATTATAACAAAAAACATTTTTTAAAAATTGTACTTGCAGTTTTTCAAGTATTTAACAAATGAAATTTATTTTTTTGTAATAATTTTTTCATTAAAAAAAAAAAAACATTCTAAAAATTTTTAGACGTCGGCTAACTTTATTTTCGTAAAAAAAATTAATTTAATAATTAAATTAAATTTTTGTGTCAAGTTACAACTTACTGATATGCAGTTCTGTGGAATCGACTTGTCTGTCTGTATCAGTTACTTTTTTGGTAACATACGTCAAGACTTCACCAACCAAAAATCCCATCTGTAAAATAAAAACATTTACAATTATTGTTTATACGCTTATTTATTTTTAAACATAAACAAGCCGCCGATTTAAATGGAGTTTTAGGTTAAACCTTGCTCATATGTAAAACGTATTTATTAACAGTCAAGAAAATTATTAAAAAATATTTTTTAATTATATTATTAAGAATATTAATAATAATTATTTTATTTACCTGATCACTAACAGTTTTGACATTTTCATAAATTAAATAAGAAAGAGCAGCACCAGAAATAGTAACGGATGATGTGTTATCCGCCATGATTGACAGATAAATGCGCTATATATATTCCATCCAGAGGCAAGTTTGAAGTTTTAATGTGTGTGTGTGTGTAAATATTTCTCAACGTTCATTTTTCATAACCTATATAAAATATAAATACTGTTTTCACACAAAGCGTCGCGTCTGTAAAATTACATACAAAATAATTATTTAATAATTTTATTGTTTCAGCAGAACACGTTGGTTAAATTTAATAATTAAAGGAACTTTTTTTATACTGCAAATGGTAAATATTTTTTTAAAACACTAAAATCAATCTACAACAATTTCTTGGTTTTAAACGGGGCTGTAAGATTTAGTGTCATTGTTTCTTCTTAATTATGAAAGGTAAATTAAAATATTAATTTTTTTTTACTTAATTAGTCTTTTCATAAATATTCAATTTTGCATTATTATTACTATGATGATAATCATAATTATTTTAATTCTTGAATAAAATGATGAAAATTAAGTTAGCCAACATCTAAAAATTTTTAGAATTTTTTTTTTAGTGAAGAAATGATTAAAAAATAATTTTTCACTTGTAAAAAACTTTAAAAACTGTAATTGCAATTTTTAAAAAATATTTTTTTGTTCTAATTTAATTATTAAAAAATAAATCAAAAAATTAAAATTTTTGGTTAACTTAAGTATTATAAATTAATTTAGCAAATGTTTAATAATTTTTTTAACAAATAAATTGACGCAAACAAAAATTAGAAAAAAAAAAAAAAAAAATTGACATGTAGAAATTTTAAAAAATTAAAAATGCAATTTTTTAAAAATAATTTTTCAAAGCAAATTTGTTTGTTAAAAAAAATTAAAAAATCGTCAAAATTTCTAACTTTAATGTCATAATAAAATTTAGTTATTTTATGATACTGAAATTTTTATAAAAAATCAATTACTGTTAAAAATATGTGTCGTTATTTAGACGCCAGAATTGAAAATTAATCTGTAATATTGAATATTGCTTCGAGGAATGGATGTTTATAACATATTTTCTATATGTTTATAGACTTGAGTATATAAGTTAGTTATAGGTCTTCATTATTATTATTATTAAGAGTGTGACTGAAAGATCGTTATTAAACTTTTTCGGCTGAGTTTAAGTCAGTTGGTTACAAGAGTGCTCTTTGTAAAGATATTCCTTTCGATTAATTATTTTAACAAATTATAGTTAATCATATAAATTTTTTTTTATTTATCTAAATAATATACTTATCATCTATTAATTAAAATAAAAAAATTTTAATTATTAATTTTTTTCATAGTAATTTAATCACTATAAAATTATAAAGTTTCTAATTTCAGATAACTTCAGTGTCATACTTCAGTTATTTCAACATCTTAATTTTACAGAGACATGTTCACCAAGAACAAGTCCCATATGGTTTCTAATCCATGTTGTTAATAAGAAATCGTTAAAAATAAAACAAAAATTAGTTCACTGCTAAATTTTTGTATTTCTTCAAGTGTTTAAGACACATTAAATGGACAAGTGTCTGAAAAATCGTCAAAAACTCAATTATTGATTAACAACCGGTAATTATGAATGTAAAAGGTTAAGCCAATATCTTCCATTGGTAAAAAGACTGTCAGAAGTGGGATTCGAACCCACGCCCACAAATGTGGACTGCGACCTGAACGCAGCGCCTTAGACCGCTCGGCCATCCTGACTCCGAACGCAAAATTTCATATTTGCTTAGTTAGATAATTTGCACATTTTCTGGAGGATTTTAGCCTCCAAAAAAGGTCAAAAATCATTAAAATTGATCTCTAAACCCCTTCCCAACTATTACTACAATCAGTTTCCTTTTCAGAACTCCATAATTCAATGAAGAAAGCTGATATAATAAATTTTATTTGCGAAGAAACAAATATAGCGTAGAGAAGATGCGGTTTCCAAAAATATCTGACTAATTTATTTCTAGACTAGCGAACTAATAAGCTTATTTGTGACGTAAGCGTCAGCAAGCGCCGTTCAGTTGAAGTGGAACGTCAGGGTGATTGTCTCGAGGTTTGTTGAGTATCGCTGAGTAGTGAATCTTTTGGAATATTTATATTTGCCGAGGATAATTTGTTATGGCTGAAGAAAACTGGGACTATTTGGGTGAAAAATGGGAAGATATTGCGCAACCGGTAAGTTGCTATTTAAATCTAAATAAAAACTCTACTTTGTTGTGAAAAAGTTCAAGGATCGAGGTGTAATGACACTCATAATTACTTCATGTTTATTCTACATCGCAATTCTTGTCATACGTTCATTTTACTCTATACAACGTATGATAATTTTTTTTTAAACGCTACATAAGCTAATTGCCTTGTAAATAGATTTTTAAAAAAATAATTATCTATTTTTTAGTGTATGTTTATGAATAGAATAATCATTAATTTAAAATGGAACATGATTATTTCATTCATAAGTCTTTAAATATAATTACGGATAATTAAATACCGTGTGAAGAATATACTCTGATAAATTAACCAAAAATATATATTATTTATAATAAAAATTAATTCGTTAAGAATAATTAAATGGACGTAATTTTAAGTCCTCGAACTGTTGGCAACAGACTAATTCTTCTTGATTGCATTAACAATATGGCGATCAAGGGTAAAGACGCTAAAAAGTGTTCAAAATTATTATTTTAATAATTAAAAATAATAATCTGCAATTAAAGAACAATACAATTGAATAAAAACAATAATTTCCCGGTTTGGAATTAAATATTTTTAGAGTAAAATATTTATCACTAAAAAAGGAAATCAATTTCCGATATTATAGATGATTGATTGTACAATTATAATTTATATTGTTGCGGTTGATATTTAAGCATAGTTGTTACGTAAGAAGACTCAGAAGGTCAGAAAATATACAAAAAAAATTTTCGAGTTTATTATGATGATATTTTGTTTCTTTAATTACTTTATGTGGAAGATAAATTATATACGCTTCCTCGGCAATAATATATTTTTTCTCAATGATCGTTCACAGCGACACGAGGACAATTAGCACGTAATTTAGTGTCAGATGTAAAACGTCAGAGCAACAACGTTGGGCTAATTAGAGCAGCGAGTTTAATGAAATGACACTAATCTTTTAACATGAATGTTCCTTTGCTGTACACTAAAGTTTTATTGCAATCTCTATGAAATACGATCTTGCAATATAATTCTTATTGTTGTATATTAGTTGATTTTTATTCTTCGCGCAGTTAAATTTTTTCTTTGACCTTCGGCATCATCAAAGATTATATTCTTCGTAAATTATCTTCACTAGTCTTCTTAATTCGCTGGATTAAACGCTGCAGGATAACGTTAGTGCTATCAAACTATAAAACTGGATTATATATTGTATAAAATATTGAGATATTATATACCTAGATTGATGAATCGTATAAATTCATACTGGATTGTGTTTTTAATATATATTTTTTATACACGCTATTTATTAATCGCGACCTTCTAGGTTTGAACTTGAAATAGAAAATGCTTCGGCGCATTGATTCGTGTCCATGAACCACTGACCGACGTTCCATGCAAGCAACAACCTCATCAGGAAAATTCAAAGGTGCTGAGGACCTTTTATTTTGAGGAATTAATCATTTCTTCTTGATATATTTAATTATCTGCAAAAAAAAAAAAAATTAATTAGATAATTAATTTTTGAATGAAATATCAAATCACTATCTACTTACTTGAAAATCGACTATAGCTAATGAAATATTGATTTTTGAGAAAAATTTTGAAACCAAAATTGTAGCTTATTAAATTTACTACAAAAAACGTTATTATACTATAGGTCTATCTTCAATATTTTAGAAGATACAGTGTTTTAATTAGCAATCACACTACAACATACGAATCAAGCAGCAAAATATAAGAAAAATCTTAAATCTGATTAAAAAAATCTGCCAACTATTACAAAAAAAATATAAGATGTAAATCCCAAGAAATAATCAACGAAGATGACTCAATAGAAACGAGTATTAAAAGTCACACGTGTGACCCAGGTATAAAAATAAAAAAGCTTGACCAGCAAAACCTGATTTGGGTTTCTACATTTTAAAATTTCTCGAGATATTGACACTTCCGGTGTTTACTGAAGATTAATATGTATTTATTTATTTCTTCTCAGTCAATGAATTTGCTTTTGATAAGTTTGAAGATAGACATGGGGTCACCGACAAGCAAACAAGCTCATGTTACCCCAGTGTTGGATTTGTTTGGTGAATGATAAAAACCGCGTGGATGCAAAAGTGAATGAATCGAGACGCAAAAGATTTTGCAAGTCGATCAGGGCGAGGTCGAGCTCGATGGATATGTCAAGTATATATGTATCCTCAACTCGTCGAACGAGTACGTAACAAATCACGCGAGTCCGAGCGTACCCGAGTAGAGCCTACTTGGTATTGACCTAGCAGCTCACGCGTGCGCTTTTTTTTTATTATTTTCCCTTTTTTTATTTTTTTTAAATCCATTAACTAGAAGAGAAAGTACCTAGCCGAAGATAACATGTCAGATTTAACATTTACAACGCAATCTATTATCAAAAATTTAAATATTCTATTATTTAGTTAGCTATTTATGATAATTTAAATGACGCGAAGAAAAATTATCCGCGGGTAATGAAATTATGCATGCAAAAAGCTAATATCTTGCGAATAGATTTTAATTATTGTTTTATGGTTGATGAAAAAATTTTTTTTAAAATAAATACATGTAAAAAAATCATTAAAAAAAAAATTCTATAAGTAGAAAATTTTATAATTTTTATAGATTTTTTTACTACTAATTTAATTAATTAATAAAAATTTTTTTAACGTCTCTTAATTTTATATATTTTTTTATTAATTAAATTGTAACTAAAAAAATTATTTAACAAATTGCATGCATTGTTTTTTAAATTTTCTATATATAAAAATTAAAAAAAAATTTTTTTAGTTATAATTTAATAAATAAAAAATAAAAACTAGCTAATACTTAATTTTAATGAAGTATGTTGTACTAAGTTGCCCGTTATAAATTCAATTATCTTCTTGGTAATCCATCAATAAACCGGATCGGCTAATGGTTCGCATATCGTGCAAACATACAATATCAAATTTTAAACTCTTCGAGCACAGTTTTATCCGTTTTGATTACATGTATCGATAATGTAATGTCTTTCAGCGCGATACCAGTTCGCTTGACCAAAGTACGTCATCTTCAATAATTTATCTTACAATAGAAAAATAAAGACGGCAAATTTTTTTCATTTTATCAATACTTACTACCATATCTTTAAAAAAAAAAAAAAAAAAAAACAATTCATTAACATATTATTAAAAGAAATAGATAAATGAACATACATACCAGGAAATATAAAAAATAAAATGCCCAGAACAATACGTGAGTCATAAATATATTTAATGATCCATAAATAATTATGGCATTTAATTTTTTTAAACGTTAAAAAATAAATGAAATTAATTGTAAAAATTTTTCTTAAACTTTTAGCAGACAATTTACGTCACACACTCACCGTAAAGCGTTTATAATTATTACATCTATTATTAGATATTGGAAAGTGTTTTAAGTTCAAAGAACTTGAGTTTAATCAATGATCTTACTATTGTCACATAAACCCACGTGCGCGTAACACTTATGTGGTTCTATTCTCTCCAGACAATTAATTCCAAGTCACGTGGACTATAAATTTAAAAGTTATCATTTTTCTTCGTCAGATTTTTTTTCAATACAAAAATGTTCTCATGATTTAGTTTCTTTCTATGACCATCTTTCACCATGACCTTAAGCTATTCCTGTAGCTTAAAATTTTTTACATTAATATCTTCCAAGCATTTCAATGAGCCTATTTATAGACAGCCCTTTGCTTTTAAATTTTTCACGGCTGAAGAATATTTATTTTAAAATAAAACGTATTTTTCTTACTTTTGTGCCAAAAAATAACAATTTTAGTTTATACTATTAATTTTAGTCACGTACTCACGGACAAATGGAATTTCATAAATAAACAATACAAATATTAAAAGATATTTGTTTTTAAAATTAATTATTTTATGCGAGTAAATCGATGCATTAATAATTTAGCGTTTCCTCTTTGTATATTTATTGATCAGGGATTGCAATTCTTACGTAACTTACATGTACGTAAAAGAACTCGTTAGCTAAACGCTTCCATGTATTTTTCCAAGTGTAGGTGCATTAAGACGTAATATGATAGGAGTAATGCATACCAAGCGATGTAATTTAGCATTGAAGTTCATTTCCCAGTAAAGTTCACTGTGTATTGAAAAAAATCACGCGGCTTTTTAATTTCTTTTATTCAAGAGCAAATATCAAAAATGAGATATGCGCAGGTGTGAATCATTTTTTCTTCTTTTTATTTTCATTTTTAATTTTAATCTGAAAAAAAATTTTATTAGAAATATTAACTAATTTATTTAATACTAAATTATTAAAAATATTATATTAAAGTTGGCTATTACTTGACAATTAAAAAATTTTTTTAACAAATAAATTTGTTCAAAAAAATTACTTTTAAAAAATTGCATTTTTTTTTAATTAAAATTAATTAAACAAATATTTGATAATTAATAGAAATTTTTAATATAAAAATTATAGCAAAAAAAAAATTTTTTTTGCCACAATTTAATTGTTAGAAAAATAAAAAAATGTCTTCATAAAATAATTCCGCAATCTGAAAGTTAAATTGCATCAGATTAGCTTCTGAATTAATTTTGACATATTTACAATCGTATTTACCCATAAATAAAATATATTATTTACCTTATTTATCTCGATTAAATATACTTAGATATTAACAATAATTATTTATAACTCGGGGGATCCCTTGTCAATTATTTTTCGAATCAATGAATATTTCGGCTACTCAACTTATATTTAATCACACATGATAATTGCGTTAGTCATTCTTCAGACTTTAAATAAATGATAAATCATCATAAATGATAAGGGTGACGCAATATTTACTGGGTCAGAGACTGTCAAATTCCCGAGCGTAAAAAAAATTTATAAAAGTCAATTAGAAAATAAAAATTTGAGGTAGGTCGTAATCTTTTATATTATTTGTTCAAAAATCTTGTTTAATCTCTAAAAGTAATCCATTTTATTTATTCATAATAAATTGTTTGGATTAATTTTAAAACCCAGATAATATGATGAATTATTTATTAGAAGTCTTAATTGCTGACGCAGCGAAATTCATGGAAAAATTATGATCATACACACCGCGGGCGTAATATTAAAATAGATCTTTTAGAACATAATATCTTAATGACCAGTGATATAATTATCGATGTATAAATAATAATCCTCAGGCTAAACCACCAAGGGCAGTAAACCGATGGCATTGAAAAAAATAATTTTTTAATTGTCTGATGAAATAATTTTATAAACTTTAAAATATTAAATTTTATAAAAATTACTTTTATTTATTTCAAAATTATCTTTTAAAGTAATTTTTAATTTTTTTTCAATCAATATTTTTAAACTACGATGAAATTTATATTATTTTTTCCAAATTTCATCATTTTTAATTCTTTTCAATCAATATTTTTAGAACAGGAATAAAATTTCTTCTAAAACTTAAAAATTTTTTCTTCTCCAAAAAAAAAAAAAAAAAAAAAACTCAATACTAAATATAGATCCTAGAATCTCAAGAATATTTTTTCCATTGACGTATCAAGTTTAAAGCCCGACGATATCCTCCCCGAAGAAATAAAATTATAATTAGTATAGCAGCCAGCTAAAAAAGGGGAGACAGAAAACTTACCGCTAAAAGAAAGTATGAATGGTACGTGACGTTTACCACGTAAACGTAGGTATAGAGACGAGCCTCCGCAGAAAGTGCTCGGCCAAAATACGTCCTCAACCCAAGAATAATAATTAAAAAAAAAAAAAAAAAAATATTTAGTACGAATAAAAGCAATCCTCAAGGACCTTTGCATCATCAACAGAAATACTTTGGTTGTATTGCGCGATGGATCGGGTTGCCCCGTGATTAAAGGTTGACGCAATTCACCTTAGCTGTGAAAATTGACACTGAAAAAAATTGTATCAATATCAATACAAATACAAGTGCAATTAAAATCACAATAAATAAATAAATAATAAATTAATAAAATAAAGAATTTCTTCTGATAAATTACAAGCTATAAATTAGAAAGCTTTGACGTGATTGAAGAAATGTGATGTAACATTTGGTATTTCCCGCGACAGAGGGTGGTCTGGTGACCTTATTTGCCCTTGAAAGCAGACGAGCCTCCAGCAGAGTTAGCTTCTGCGCAGAGCTGACACAAAACTATGGAATGTGTTGGTGCGTACTTGCTGTAAATTAAAAGAGGAGAGTATTAGGACAACTACATAGAGGCAAAAGGCCCGTCCAAGTGGGGAAATAATTCTATGAGTACAGCTAGAGTAGTATAGTAGATGTACACACAATAATTCTCATTCTATTTTGCTGAACTGGTAGTAGAGCACCAGCGGTATGCTTTGGTTGGATCTATGCCCCTTCTTACCGTGTTTCTCCTCTTTTCATGGAAGACAATTTCAACTGGAGGTGGTTAGGTAGAGCAAGCGCTGTTCAGCTTAACACATCACAGTCACCGTTGGTCTTTCAGATATTTAACTCGTGTCTGGAAATAATAAATTGATTTTAGAATATTTTAACTAACTTATTAACAAGTACTGGAGATTTTTTAAGAATACTCCAAAGTTTTGTTCTGCCTGGATAATTAAATTGCGTTTTAATTTTTTTTAATTAAAAAAATTAGAGTATTTAAATAATTGCATCACTCTGGGTATTGAACCGGGTTGTTAAAATAATTTTAAAATTGCGCTGCACTCAAGTATTGCTTCTGAGTTCGTTGATCTTCGTCATTTTTGGAGGGATTTAATTATATTAATTAGTCAATAACGTGCTGATGAAGATGAAGACTGCTCCGACAAATCTGGAAAGTCTGGTTAAGCCAGAGGTGAGACTCAATTAGTATTTACATCTATAAAAAGAAAGTTTTAGGATTTAATTCTTTTTTTTTTTATGAAAATGAATTTAGCTGACATTTAAAAATTTTTTAAAAAATATCACTTGTTAAAAACTTGAAAAACTACAAGTGCAATTTTTTATAAATATCTTTTTAGTTGTAATTTGATTAAAAAAAAAAAATCAAAAATTTTTAAACGTCTGCTAACTTCAGTTTCATTTTTTTTGGATTAATTATTGATGAGTTTTTTTATTTATTACTTACTACGGTTATTAATTATTACGTAGCACAAGAGTTTGGTTTATCGATCCGGCGTTAACGTCATGAGAATGTGAATTTTTTTTAGCTACCAAAACTAATCCTCGTTTCTTCCCTAATCATCTTGAATTTTATCTTGCTCCTTTCAAAAGATCAATAATCCGGTTTTTTTAAGCTAAAAAAAATTCTTTGAAATATATTTAGCATAGTAATTAATTAACGTTATCCGATTCATGGTAATTTTTTATCACTTTGAATATTATTAGAACTACGTAATAATTTGAGAATAAAATTAATAATTAAATAGTTGACCTGATTAATTTTTATAGCTTCTTACTATGCTCTATTTTAAATCCAGCTGATTCACGTGTTGAATTAATCTGTAGTAAAAATAAATATTAAATTTGTAAATTGTAAATCATATTAAGGTGATGATTGGTAAATTTATAAAAAGCCGAAAAAAAAAAAAACAGCTGACATTTTGATTTTCCACGTGTCACCGGCATGACGTATCGGCTAATAAAACCATCTGTAATTATTGATAATATGTACTGGGTTTTTGTGCTCATACTCATACTCAATAATGCTGATATGATAGTTATCGAGTAGCTCACTCTCTGTCTGGTTATTTATTGCTCCTAGTCGGATATCAATAAATTGATACATGTGAACAAATATTTAATATTCATTCACATGGCGACCCTATTGGCTGGCTCGCGGGTGTGTCAGTGACGTCACACTGGATCAATGTGGTGGTTGTGGGAAATAATAATCAGAGTTAACGGATGTCCGTAGTAAAAGCGCGCGGGAATCTCAAAGACTATATATTGCATAATTTTAAATGTCAAGGTTTGCAATTGTCTATCTTATGAATTTTATTTGCAGTATTTAGTTTATTAATTTTCTTTTTATTTCTTCTTTTAAATAAATCATTTTTAAAATATATTTTTCATGTATTATTTCTTCTTAAAAAAATCATTTTAAAAATATAATTTTATTTCTTCTTTAAAAAATTATTTTTAAAATGTATTAAAAAATTAATTTGTTTTCTTATATTTCTTCTTTGAATTTTTTCTTATTTCTTCATTAAAAAATTATATTTAAAATATATTAAAAAATAAATTTGTTTTTTTACATTTCTTCTTTGAAACTTTCTTATTTCCTTTTCAAAAAAATTATTATAAAAATATAATATACTGCATTTAATTTATTTCATTTCTTCTTTGAAGTTTTTCTTATTTCTTTGAAAAATAAATTTCAAACTATAAAATAAAACATTTATTTTTTTTTTTTTCCTTTGCCACTTTTCATAATTAAAAATTTATCCATACGATTGATCTTGATGATACCTCTAATGTATAATTTTCATCAAGCTTCTGTAAATTAGTGTCATAAATAACATATATTTACCATTAAATTATATGTTTGTCCATCAAATAGATTTATAATCTTCTTTGCACCTAGCAAATTAATTTAATTACACCCAAAGATATTCTTCTTTCTTCATTACATTGAAAAAAAATTTTTTTTTTCCAAGTAGTCTTCTTTTCTAAAGTTATCAAAACAATCTAAAATATTAAAACGTAGTTTGAGGACGTGCGGAAATTAAAATTACACGTCCATAAAAATTCCTACGTCATAACTGAAATAAAAAATATGTAACTGATAACCACCTTATTCTGTTATCGATAAAAATAAAAATACTCACGTTCACATACATATTCTTCCCAAACGTCATTGTTATTGTTATGATAATTGTAATTGCTTTTTTATCTGTAAATCTAAATAACAAAGTAATTAACTAAAATTACTGATATTAAACCGAAGAAATTTGTCAAAGTAAAAAAAAAATATTCTGTTGAATTTAATATACTTATTTTATCCCATACGCACTGACAGTTCTTCAGCAGGAAAGATTTTAATGCGGAAAAAAAATTACGTCATCTATGATAAGCAATATATCAATTTTAGTATTTATTTTCATTTATAAAATTATATTATAAATGAAGATAAATTTTATATTGCTATTAGCTTAGAAATTATGTTCAATATTTATTAATGATAAATTACTCTTAAGTTATTTATTGATATAAATTTTCATATTTTTTTTTTTTTTTTCAATAAGATTATATGATTTATTATAAATTGTAATAATAAAATCAAAAGACATCTTGCAATTTTTATAATAAATTAATATAAATAATTCTTTTAACTAATTTATTATAAAAATTAATCAATTAAATAATTTAAAAAAATATTTAAAAATTTTTTTTAGGTAAAAGAGGCTTGCAAAGAGCTTGTCTTAACAGACGAGCAGCTTCGAACGCTGATGAAAAGCTTGCACCAAGAGATACAGCGTGGGTTAAACAAAAAAACTCATGAAGAAGCTATTGTCAGATGCTACCCGACTTACGTCCAGGATCTTCCCAATGGAACTGGTATGTAAACTTATTTTTTAATAAGTTGATGTTGATCTTGATGATAATTAATATTTAAAAATCACCTAGAAAAAAAAATAATTTTAATAAAAAATTTTTTCAACAAAATAAAATTTAAGATGGACGGTGGAGTTTATAAGAAGGTCCACTTTATAAGAAATAAATGATAATTAATAAATTTTAATCCGTTGCAGAGAAGGGACATTTTCTGGCTCTGGATCTCGGCGGTACTAATTTCCGAGTCCTGCTGATTTCGCTAGACTACACGAACTTCGACATGAAGAGTAAAATCTACGCGATCCCACAGTCGCTTATGCTTGGATCTGGAACACAATTGTTTGATCACATCGCTCAGTGTCTCGCGCTCTTCGTCAAGGACTTGAAGCTGGAGAAAGAAATTCTACCGCTTGGTTTTACCTTCAGTTTTCCTTGTAGTCAGTATGGATTGACTAAAGGAGTTTTGGTGAGGTGGACCAAAGGGTTCAACTGCAGCGGAGTCGTTGGTGAGGACGTCGTTCATTTGCTTGAAGCTGCTATTGCTAAAAGAAATGTAATTATAATTCAAATTCAATATTTTATGTTTATTATTATTATTAAATTAATTGAAATAAATTTTTGACTTACAGGATGTCAGAATTGATGTCTGTGGTATCTTAAACGATACAACCGGAACTCTGATGTCTTGCGCATGGAAGAACCACAACTGCAAAATCGGGCTGATTGTTGGAACTGGAAGCAACGCTTGCTACGTTGAAAAAACCAAAAATGTTGCAGCAGCAGTTCCCGGTAACTTCAATGAAAATAAAGAGCACATGCTGATCAACACCGAGTGGGGTGCGATGGGTGAGCGCGGAACCCTGGACTTTGTCGTTACTGAATTCGACAGAGCCATCGACGAGAACTCTATTAATCCTGGCACCCAAATCTATGAGAAAATGATCTCTGGAATGTACATGGGAGAGCTGGCTAGGCTGGTTCTCGAAAAGCTTATTGATACCGGTCTCTTGTTTGAAGGCAAGTGTCCGCCGGATTTGAAAAAGCGGGGAAAATTCTTCACTAAATATGTCTCGGAAATTGAAGCGTAAGTAGTTTTTATAATTTTTAATAATTTTAAATCACAAAATTTATCAAATTTAAAATTGGACAAAAATTTTGATTAAAAATTTTAATTTTTACTGTCTCTCCCTTCAATTTACATTGAATAAAATAATTTAATAAATTTTTTGGAAATTTTATATGAAAGCTTATTAAATAAGCTTTAATTTACATATTAATTTTTTTTTTCTAGATCAATAATTTGTAAAATGCCAGCAAATTAAAAATTTTAATTATTTAAAAAATTATCAAAAAAATAAAAATTACTTGTTAGTCAATTTTAATTAAAATTATATTTAATAAATTTTTTATATTATTTTGAACTATTGATAATATTTTTGATGAACTAATTTAAAAAAAATCACCTAATTTTTTTTTTTTTTAAACAGAGATCCAAAAGGCAAATACACAAACTGCCGAGAAGTCTTAGCAGAGCTCGGAATCAGTAACGCAAATGACCAAGACTGTGAAAACGTAAGATACGTTTGCTCAGTAGTATCAAGAAGAGCAGCTCACCTTGCTAGTGCGGGTATTGCATGCTTGTTGAATAAAATCGGAGAGAACAACGTTACTGTTGGAATTGACGGATCAGTTTATCGATTCCACCCTCACTTCCATGATCTAATGACAGAAAAAATTGGCCAGTTACAAAATTACACGGTAAGATTTATCCAAAAATAACAATGAAAATTAAGTTAGCCGACATTTAAAAATTTTTAAGATTTTTTTTTTCATTAAAAAAATGATTACAAAAAAATTTTCATTTGAAAAAAAAAACTTTAAGTGCAATTTTTTTAAAATATTTTTTTTGTTCTAATTTAATTATTAAAAAAAAAATTAAAAACGTCGGCTAACTTTAGTATTATAAATAACACTGAAGTTGACAAACATGAAAAATTTTTTTAGTATTTCACAACAATTAAATTGTTATGAAAAAAATTCCATATGTAAAAATTAAAGAAAATTATCAGTGAAAATTTTTAGAAGCACTTTTAGTATTGTAATTGATTTGTTATAAGAATTAAAAAAAAAAATTAATTATCAATTATTTTATTTACAGTTTGACCTGATGTTATCAGAAGACGGAAGTGGTCGTGGAGCGGCTTTGGTAGCAGCAGTAGCCGCGCAAAAACGGTGAAAAAAATGATCGGCTATAAAAAAATTTATTTTAGAATAATTAATAAAATTAAAGTACGAATTTCATAATTAAATTTAACAGCAGAAATAATAACGATAATAATAAGATTAAATATTAATTATTAATTATTATTACTATATATATAAAAAAAAAAAAAATATATTGACACTTATTTTGTACATAGAGCACAAAAAGATACGTTTTGCCTAAATAGATCGTTGATACGAATTTATTAGGCTCTTGTTTCTACTTAATTAATCCGTCTTACTCTTTGAATTATTGATTAATTTTTAACGAGTAAGACGAAGATAATTAACGTGCCCACAAATGGATTAACGAGATTGTTTATTTATTTTAAAATAGCTTTCTCGCTCAGGATTAAACCGATTTTAAAATAAAATAACATGTACATTAACGGGCATGTGCACTTAAACAGTAGACAGATTTAATGAGTTACTTTATTTTCTTCTTTTATTTTATAATCACAAGCGCAGTGAATTTAATTAATTTAATGATAATAATATAGTTATTAAAAAAAGAAAAAAAAATTGAAAATTATTAAAAATGTAAGAGGTGTGAACTAGTGATTTATTTTATGAGTAATTGTGTGATGTATGCGAGTATATATGCACGAAAATATAACAAAGATCAATAATATTTATGTAAAAATAATAAATAATAAATTGCGCTTAGGACAATTTATAAATTATTTATAATATCACACTCTATCTTTTCACGCGTTTTTATAAACGTGCTAACGAATTAGGTTTTAATAAATAATAGTTATTAAATAAATCAATTTTTGGGTTATGTAAACAATTACACTGCGTGATAGCTTCAAATTAATATTTTAAATATGTCTTCCTTTAATAGAAATTTTTTTAGAAAAATTATTGAGATTAATTAACAGTTTTATTAATTGGATTATTTTTATAAACACATTTTTTGTTATTAAACTGTCACACAGTTGAATTTTATCGTTTAGAATAAAATAGTTTTAAATAGAAAAATCTAAAAATAATAAACCTTTAAATTTTTATTTTTACTGGAAATTACTGAAGAAAGTGTTGATATAAATGTTACTAACCTTTGATATTAAATAACAATCAATTCTGTAAATTATAAATAATATTGTACGAGGTAAATATGAACTTTTTTATGTTCTGGAGTATGTTAACATTTTTTTCAAATGTATCGTTCAAGTTGGAGAATAAAAAACATCTTTATTCTTTGAAGATACATTTTTTTCATTTCTTCCTCTTGACAGTTTCTTTTTTTTAATAATTTTCTAACCAAATATCTTATTCTGGATTTCTTGATTTTAAATTTTAAATTTCCGCGCGGCCGCCATTTTGATTTTTACAGAGGGCAGGTCAGTTGGAAAAGGAGAAATTACAAGTCACTGCTGTATCAAGTGTAGTTCTGGTAGGATCCATTAATTTGTCACAAGTGTCTTTTTCTAATTATTAAAAATTCTTTTAAACTTTTCGTCATTAATATTAATGAATTAATTTAAATATTATCTTTTTTATTTATTATAGTTTTTGTATAGTAATTATATTTTTTCTTATAATTTATTTTTTATAAAATAAAAATTGTCAGCTGATTTTAAAGTGATTTTTCAAGTTTAATTGTTAAAAAAAAAAAAATTTATTTGAAAAGTTTTAAAGAAGAAATGACATGTAAGTGAAATAAGTTGACAGGTGAGTGAAAAAAAGCTTGAATTAATAATAAATAACATTATTAAAAATTCATAAAGACATTGAAGATGACAAACACTAGAAATTTTTTAATAATATTATAGCAATAAATATTAATAAAGTTAGCCGACATTTTTGACTTTTTTATTTTGCTTAATTTATTAAGTTAGAACTAAAAAATATTTTTTAAAAATTGCTAATTATTTTCATTAGCAATAAAATTATTATAAGAAAAATTTCACTTGTGAAAATTAAAAAAACAATTATTAGTGGACATTTTTTACAGAATTTCATTATTGTAATTGATTTGTCAAGAGAATTTAAAAAAAATTTACAGCTGTCAGTTGTAAAAATGAAAAATTTGTAGTTTATTCAAAACTTTTGGTAAGTATAAATATTATAATGAAAATTAAATTAGTCGACATTTGAAAATTTTGATAATTTATTTTATTGGAAAATAACTTTTAAAAAATTGAAACAATAAATTTTCACATGAAGAAATTTTTAAAAAATAGTTTTTTAGTTAATAGTTATAATTTTTAATTAATAAAAAAAATAAAAAATTTTTACTGTCTGCTAAAGAAAATTAAGTTAGCTGACATCTAAAAACTTTCAGAAATTTTTTTATTGAAAAATTATTACAAAAAGAAGAAAATAAAAAATATCATGCACTTGTAAAAAACTTGAAAAACTATCAGTGCAATTTTTTAGTTTTTATTTAATAAATAAAAAATAATTAAAAAATTGAACTTAATTTTCATAATATTATAAATACTGTTTTAAGATTTAAAACGTAAAAAATTTTGAAGAAAAAGTGACATATAAGTGAAACAAGCATCAAAACGCTCAAGGGTGATGAGAAGCTTGGATCATAATACAATATTATTTACCATCCAGCCAATAAAAATTTAAACGTCCACTAAATGTCTTAGTAGTGCTAAACGTTGTTGAATTATTACTGAAAAGTCTGCGTGTACTTACTTGCGTAGTTGGTTTGATGAATTTACGTCTGTACGGCAAAAGGACGAACTTGACAGGGAAGAAAACTCACATGTAATGTAATTTAATAACCAAATTAAACATTTCTTCCAGAGTGCACCAGCATATCAGAAGTGAGCTTGCAAAAAGTGAACTACCGGGAACAGGAGAGGAGATAAATAAATTTTGAGGAAATATATACCGTCCTAATAGAGTAATTAAAAGCTCTGAAATGATAGAAGCAATAAAACCGTGAATTTAAGAAGCTGTAGCGGGGGCGTGGTTAAGAATACTCTGGTGTTTAGGAACCAATAGGACGTGTTAGTGGCTGAGAAACTCTTTCTGGGCGTTAAGTTACATCTTGGCCACGTCTCTCCTCAAGTTAAGCCCCGGCTTTTCGTCAAAATAACTTGGTTAAAAAATATTTTAATGCTTAACATATGAAAATAAATGTTAGTGGGCACGTAGGCGTGTTATTGCTGCTCACTTGTTGCTCTTACACAATATCGCAAGATAACGCCCAAAACAAAAGTTAAGTACTAATTTATTCATTTCTGTTTCTGTTAATTCGCCGTTTCAGTCAGTGAGCATATACCAGACCTATCTCAGTGATTCGTTTCTTCATAGATCTAGTATATGTGCTTCACTTATTTCTATAACTATTTTTAATAAATTTATTAAATAAAAGTATTAATTGTGCACAAGTGATTTGTTTTTAGAAATTTTCAGGATTATATCAGTGACTTTTGTACAACTTGAACTGGCTTTGATTAATGGATCCAATCATATTAGGTAAGCACAGCACTTTTGAAAATATATTTTTTTTTAACTACTTAGATAAATTTTGCAGAAGAATAATTGCTAAAAATTTGGATAAAAAATAGAATTTTTAAAGAAGAAATATAGAAAATCTTTGGCGGATCATTTTACCCCAATCCGTCGGTTAGTTTTAATAAAAACTATTTAAATATATATAGAATCATAGACTGTGAGTAAATCTATAATGTAATTATATCAATATAACCGATCACCCATGGACATTAATTGATAACCTCTTTGTATACAAGAGGTCTTGGAGATTAGCTAAGGGGCACTGACATAGATTATTCAAATTATAGTCTTCTGTTTACTTTATGCTTCATTTAAATATCACCGTTCATTCATGCTCAAGAAAAATCTTTTTTAAATTATTATTTATTTTAACTAGTTATATAAAATGTGAAACTAGCAAATATCTGTAAAAGAAGAAATAGATTTTATTATTATTTGTTTTTTTTTTTTTTATTATTTTTGTTTCTTTGATATTTTCAATGACCGGCGCCTTTTAAATCTATAGCGAATCCAGTTTAAGCGTTGCGTTTTGATAGCTACCGAGAAATTTATTAGATCTGAAGATATTTTTTAAAGATCTGCTTTTGATAAATTTATTAAAGCTTGGATTATGTTTCATACATATGTTTGTTTATGTTTTTCATCTAAGTGGTAATCCTATTAAAACAAAGCGAAAATTTATTCAGAAGCACTTTTACTCAAATTTTATTTGATTATTCAAAGCTGTGTTTGATTTTTGTCCTAATCAAACACAACTAATTGAATACTAATTTGTAAACTACCGTTTTTTTTTTTTTTTTAATTCGTATCTTATTACATTTTAAATAAATAGATGTATTGTTTAAAAATTTTGTAAATAATCTAAGATTATTTTTTTAAAGAAGAAATAATTTATATTATTTAGAGAATAAGCAAAATATTGTGGCTAGTGTATTTGTATGATAAAATGGGTTTCTATGGTTAAATTTGATATCGTTGAAAAAATCGAGACCTGGAGTTGTGTCTTTTTAAGATTTCACATCATTTTCACCAATAGTCAATTTATTATGATAAGCATTTAGGCTGCATACGAAAATGCTTTATCTCTAGATACATAATTAAGAAATGACCTTGTATCTTGTGAACTATTGACATTTTTACATATATAAGCTCATCCCGATGTTACACTCATCAAGACCTTTCATTTGAGTACCCACATCAATTTTTCATATATTTTATATATTTATATATTCCACAAATACAATATTATATATAAAATATATAAAAATTGCCATGTGGGTACTCAAATGAAAGGTCTCGATAAGTGTAATATCGAGATGAATTTATATCTATAAAAATGTCAATGATAAAGAAATTACCTTGTATCTTGTGAACTATTGACATTTTTAAAGATATAAACTAATCCCGATGTTACACTCACCAAGACCTTTCATTTGAGTACCCACATCAATTTTTCATATATATGTTATATATTTATATATATCACAAATACCATATATATATAAAATATATGAAAAATTGATGTGGGTACTCAAATGAAAGGTCTTGGTGAGTGTAACATCGGGATGAGCTTATATATTTAAAAACGTCAATATTTCACACTATACAAGGTAATTTTTAAAAAAAAAAGTTATTTTTTACTAATTTTTTGTTGAACATCGAAATCTATAATATATATAATTATTAACTTATTTTTGTCATTAATAAGACATGAAGAAATAGATATATTGTGTTAAAAAATGAAAACCCTTAACGTATTAATATTCCATAGGGAAGAAAAGAAGAAAGAGAGTAAGTTAGCGAAAATAATATTAAATATTTTTTGAGTTGTTGGATTTATTTGACGGGTGATGAATAGCCAAAGATCAAAGTTTCATGCCGGCAGTAAGTTTACACGCATGTAATACACGTGTGTTTTTAAAGAAGTATCAAGTATACTGTTGCCCCTAATACTAATCTTTAAAGTGAAAAGCCATAGTGGCAAGTAGTAACCGCAATATAGGTATATATAAACATTAACATACATAAAAGCGTAGTTGATTTGAGATAGGGAGTCTTCTCGGAGTTTTTAAAAATGTCAGGGAAGGATAGCACAGAGGACAACGAATGTATTTGTGTACACTCATAAAAACTCTTTTCTAAAGTGGGCGTGTTGATTCTAACGTCTTGATGAATGTCACTGTGTCGCTGTTTGCCTTTGGTCTACCAGAACATATGCTTTATTTTTTAACTTACAATCCTCTATAACTCTAAACGTCAGTATTTAGTCAAAAAAAGAGTCGTCAGGTTCCTGCCAAAACAACTAAACCTCCAATAGCTTTTTTTATTATTAAACTTTTGGTTTATTTTGAAAGGTGGCGCGTGAGCAACTTTAATTATTTTTTTGAATTCAAGTCAAGTCTCGAGTGAAATCTGTCCAAAGAAATTAGCCGCAATTTGTAGATAAATTCTATTCTCTACTTTGCTTAAAATTTTACTTTTTATTTATTTCTTCTTTAACGCTCAACTTAATTTTATTATACCGGAGTAAATAAACCTTTTAATTTATTGCGTTGATGGTAATTAAAATAGTCTTATATACACTATTCTGTCTGAAAAGAGAAACTTCTAACGCCTAAAAAGAATAAAATTATTATTATTAAAGTTAAAATTATAAAAGTTTTTGTGTAACGTTAAACTCACGCGTAACCCGAAAGTGTCTGGATCGAACCCTGTTGAAAGCAGTTCAAAACGCCGATTCGGATATGGACAAAAAAAAAGTTACGATATATATTCGACTCGCATTACGAACCGCCTACAAGGGTGAAAGGGAATATAATTTTAAGAATTGCCGTTCTTCAACAGTAGAGCATCTTGAATGTATTGCTTCCCTAAGGTTGTGTAGGTGCATTCGTGTAATTGTTTGGGCATGTTCGACAAAGGTCTCAGTCTTGAATCTGATACGCTTCAAAACAATCCCAAGAGTTTATAGTTATTAATGAAATTTTATAATTAACTTATTATTTCATTTTATTATTATTTTTCTTATCTTCACATGTGACATTGCTGACATGTATTGTCCAAATTATTCTCATTATTTTTTAATCAACCTTTCATTTGAGTACCCACATCAATTTTTCATATATATATATATATATGAAAAATATACCAAAAATGCATGTGGGTACTCAAATGAAAGCTCTTGATGATGAGTGTAACCTCGGGATGAGCTTATATCTTCAAAAACGTCTGTATAGTTAAGAAAGCACAGTGCAATTCAACAAAATTCATTATTTAATAAAGAAAAACTTTATTTATTCCTTCAAATGTTTAGTTTAAAAAAAAAATTCTATTATATTAATTAATAATATAACGATCAAATAATAAAATAATTTCTCAGAAGGTCTTTTTTAAAAAGAACATATTGTCACATAATCCATTTTTATTTATTTTAGTTTGAATGCTTGGTATAAGACTTTATGACACTTCTAGCTAGAATAATAAACTTTTCAAGATAATCACCCTAATTATGTTCAAATGATTACCATAAAACTTTTAAAACACCATTAATAAGCAATTATAGGTGGGATTGAGAAAAGAAGACGATAGATTTTCTAGTTTTTCTCTTATGTTTCCATAAAAACAAATTTTGAATAAAAACTAATATTAATCCCGATAGTAAAATTCATTGAGCAAAATGTTAATTATTATACTAATTTAGATTCTTCCCACATTCGTAAATAAAAAATCCGAGTATTTTTTTCATCCCACCGCCTCGGTACCGTAAAATATCAAATAAATATATCTAAGAAACTATATTGATAATACTTACACAAAAAAGCTCGTTAGTTAACAGAGCCGACGCGACAAAAGCGTGCCGCCGACGCAACGGTCACATTACTTTATAAAAAAATTTATTTTTTGCTATTAAAGGCTGCTTATCTTTTATTTTTGGTATTAAATCCATTAGAAACTTTTTAAAATTTATGATAAATAATATCCTGATGCAAATTAAAAAAAAAAAATTGCAACATCCTAAAATTTACTTGAAAAGAAAAATTTCTTATAAAAGTTTAATACTTTTTCTTCTTCAAAATTCTTTACTTAATTTTTTTTCAGTGTAAATTTATTAGTACTTACTAATAGAAGTATCCAATTCAATAAAACGGTTTCAATATCTGCAGATTAGACTTATCCCGCTTAGCACAATTATCAGATTTAACGACTGAAAAAAAAAAAACGATATCAAGCCATTAGTTAATCACCTGAGTGCATACCAATTAATTAGATTGAATTGAATTATAAAATAATACTCTTTACTACCTAATCAACCCATTAGAAAGTAGTTACCTGATAAATAAGCTCCATAAAAACTATTTCTTCTTTTTCAGATAATAACAATGGACTTGGACAGCAGCAGCAGCAGCAGCAGCAGCAACAGCAGCAATACGGCGAAGTTAACCAATTGGGTGGAGTGTTTGTAAACGGCCGACCATTACCAAACGCCGTGAGACTCCGAATTGTCGAACTGGCCCAATTGGGGATCCGACCTTGCGACATATCCCGACAATTGCGGGTCAGCCACGGGTGCGTTAGCAAAATTCTAGCCCGCTACCATGAAACAGGAAGCATTCTTCCTGGCGCGATTGGCGGCAGCAAGCCCCGGGTGACAACTCCAAAAGTGGTTCAGTACATAAAGCAATTGAAGCTGAAGGATCCAGGAATCTTCGCCTGGGAAATCAGAGACCGGTTGCTGTCTGATGGAGTCTGTGATAAGTACAACGTGCCATCGGTCTCCAGTATCTCCAGAATACTAAGGAACAAAGTGGGCGCCAACTCTGGCGCTCTTCACCATCCTCATCATCCTCATCATCACCACCATCATCACATATACGCAGCTGCTGGTGCTGCTCTGTGTCCAGTTCCGTATCCACCGTCGCCTTATCACCAGCCTCCTTCGGCAGTCACTCATCATCATCACCACCACCATCACCAGAGCGAACGATTAGGTAAGTTCGAGTAATTAGCCATTACACTTGGTATCAGGAAGACTACTTGTCTGCATAGTTGTGTATTTTGTTGGCAAGAAGACGTTGATATATTTTTCCGTGAAGTATATGATGATCAGTGCGTCGGATTAAAATTCATCTTGTTAATTGGATTTAATAAAATTAAAATACTATTATACGCCGCGATGTGTGTATTGTCTCTGAGATATGTTTGTCAAAGGATAATTTAACATGACACCAAGGTGGCAAGAGAACAGCTGGTTAGGTGTATTGATCAGTTCCGGATGAAATGAATTTATGTCAACCGATGAGAGATTTTATGAGTTGGCTGATCGAGTTAACCACCGTTTTATTGAACTACGTCAGGTTAAAACTGGCAGATGATTGACCAGGAGCTGCTCTTTAAATCATCGGGTAATTAATTACACGTGAAGAATATACTTTTGGCTTCAAAGGTCAAGATATCAATTTCAGGTGGTCTTTTTTGGATCTATTATTAGTATTACTTATTGTTTTAAAAGTCCATGGACTCGTAGCTTCTTGCGGCCCTCCAAAATACATCACAATGAATGTGGATTAACAAAATTAGTGTATTACAGATATTATTAATGCATTATAATAAATACATCAATACATCAGATAAAAACCATTTCATTAAAGCTTGTGATCAAATCAAACATATTCTTCACTCAACAATAACTCAATAAAACATGCAGAAAAAGTGGGTTTAGTTGTGAGGTACAGTATGAAGGCAATTAACCAATTCCATACTCTAATCGCACTTACTAAAAAAGATTTATCATATTTGGTACTGTGACAACCTGGTACAACAAGCAAATCATTCCTGGACTCACATGTTTGCAAATTATTGCCAATAAGTGGCTTTTGCTCTAATTATAAATTGAACACATAAAAAAAACTCCTACTTCTTGAAGTTAACCAATACAGATTTATTAATTTTGATAAAAGGATCATCTTTGTTTAGTCAAGAGGTAATTCAGTTAAGCTGGAGCATTCTGACCCTTATAAGACAGAAGATAACTTGTTGGTCCAAGTTGGATCAAGTCCAAGAATGGAAGCGCAAGAAGATCCCGACGATCAAACAAGTCTATAAGCGACAAAACGCCATTCGTCAGCAGTCTTTTTTTAAAACGTATCTCAGTGCAGAAAAGTGTAAAATTATGGTCGCCAGTGAGTTCACAGACTGAAAATTATTGTTCTCTGAAGACTATTTTATGTATATAGTATTTTGTATAAGTTTAAATGTAGTACGTGGTTAATTGTTGACTTGACAAAACAATGCAACTTTTAATGCATGATATGAGTATTCTTCTGGATTTACAAGTGAATAAGCTGGTTTTTTAGCACCGTTAATTCTCTAAAAGGTAAGCATCGCAATTCATACCCTTGTTCGTACCAAAAAAGCTCACTGCTATCATATATTTTTAGGTTGATCTAGTTGACGAAATAACTGATGCATGCAGAAAATAACAAAACAATTGTGTAATAATTATATGCATTGATTACAAGATCGCCTGCATTGATTTTTGAGCTCTCAAGGGCGCGTCGACAGTCTTTTTAATTTTGACGATTTATTGTTAGAATTTTTTGAGCCTAATTTTGGCTCGAGTTTTGTCAAAAAAATTAATTGTCCTTAGTGAAGGTCTAATTTTGGTTTGTTTCAGATAAAAACTTGACATTCTCTATCAAGAAAATTTTAAAGCAAGATCTCGTTGGTTTTCATAATTCAAATCAACATTTTTGATCAACGACCAAAAGAAGATCACTAGCTACGTATCAAGCCAATATATATATATATATATATATATATATATATATATATATATATATATTACACTTTATTATTAAATCTTATTTCTTCTTTGTACTTAAATGAGTTGACGTCGCAGTTATAATAAAAAATTATGTAAATAATCTGTCAATACACTAGTAGGAGCTTAAAATAATTAGTGTAAACTCTATATAACGACACGTTAAATGGAGAGAAGAAAAATTAGAATTAGAAAAAGAAAAAGTTCATTTCAGACTAGTGTTAGTTTACAAAGTTATGTACATAAAAAACAATCTTATTTGGACGCTATTGCGTATAGTCTGTTATTTTTGCATATTAACATAAGTTTTACCCCAGATCTGCCATCAATAATAATGGACACTCTATAGTTCATTGGCTGTAAGACACTAGTTGTATTTATCTAGACACTAACATGTAGATAAATCCATGACTGCCGACAGTACAACGTACATAGCTGCGCAGTTTTTACTAATTTTGGCAATTTATAACTTAATTGTTATGAAAATGAAGTTAACCGACATTTCAAAATTTTTATAAATTTTTTCTTGAAAAAATTTCAATTAAACAATTAAAAAAAAAAAATTGTCACATGTAAAAAACTTTAAAAACTATAAGTGCAATTTTTTAGAAATATCTTTTTAGTTGTAATTTAATTAATAAAAAAAATCAAAAATTTTCTGCTTACTTCAGTGTCATTAATTGTTACTGAGAGTGGGTGTAATGCTATATAGAGTGTATCATTGTATGAAAAACAATCTAAACCAACCAAAGCCAAGTGATTTCGACGCTTTAGGGAGTTTGTCGTTAAATCTAGTGACGTTATATAGAGTTTACACTGCATAATGATTTATTTTATATGTTATTATTAGTTTCAAGTATTATTAAGCTAATAAAACTAAAAAAGAACGCTCATTAAAAGCTGTATAAATGTACTGATACTTTGATTGCTATTTTTTTTTTTTGAGTAAAACTTTTCGCAAGCAGTTTTATTAATTGCGTGGTAATTAAGGATGCCCGTGGTGATGAATGGAGATATTGTCTTCACAATATTATACATTCAGTAATTATAAATCTTCGGATTTTATATGATAAATATTTGTAACAATGTTATTTCATTAATGTAATAATTAATATTTATATTTATTCATTTTTATTATTTAAACTTTGTAAGATGTGTTACTGTAAAATAGATTAATACACAGTGGAATTCATTAAATTATTAACATAACCTCTATTTCTTCCTAAAGCCACACAAAGTTATTAGGTTAAGCTTGAATTTTCAACGCAAAGTTTAAATATTAAAAAGAAAATTTTTATTTCAGCTTACATTATCACTGCCTCTTCATATCCTTCCTTTGACGTTCATTCTCAACCCCATCGAAGTTACCCCTCATCAACGTCGCCCCGATCTCCCTCTTATTCGGCGCCCGGATCGACCTGAAACTCACCGCAAAACAACTCAGCGCCATCTTTTCTGCAAAACTACTAATGTCTACTTTTCTTCACGCTCTTGCATTGTTCCAGAGAAATAAGTAAAGGGTCTGACATTTTTCTTTTTATTATTAATTTATCAATTAGTATTTTCTAATGTGTAATAGAAAGTGTCGGCAATAAATTATACATACTTGATATTTATTATTAAATATTTAATCAATTTTGTCAATCAGCTGATTTATTAACCATGTCACTTGGCAGACATATCTGTCAAAATTTATTACACTGTTGAGACAGACATTAAATATTTTATAGCAATAAAATTATTATTAAAAAAATTACGTGTTAAAAAATTATTAATGGAAATTATAAAACGAATTTTTAAAAATTGACAGCTATCAGCTGACTTCAATATCATAAAAATTTTTCAAGACACTGAAGTTAACTTACATTAAAAATTTTTTTTATAATTTTATAGCAATAAAATTGTTAATAAAAAAAATTAAAAAAAGAATTTTAAAAAATTGACAGCTATCAGCTGACTTCACTATCATAAAAATTTTTCAAGACACTGAAGTTAACTTACATTAAAAAGTTTTTTTATAATTTTATAGCAATTAAATTATTGTTAAAAAAAGAATTTTTAAAAATTGACAGCTGTCAGCTGACTTCAGTATCATCAAAATTTTTGAACACTCAAATTAAATGAAAATAAAGTTAGCCGACATCTAAAAATTTTTATGATTTTTTTTTATTAAAAAAAAATTTTTTCATTTGTTAAAAACTTCAAAAACTATAAGTGTAATTTTTTAAAAATATTTTTTAGTTATAATTTAATAAATTAAGCAAAATAAAAGAATAAAAAATGTCGGCTAACTTTACTATTATTGAAGTTAACTAATATTAAAAATTTTTTTATAGTTTTATAGCAATAAAAAAATAATTGCAAGAATTAAAAAAAATTGACAGCTGTCAGCTGACTTCAGTAAGATCAAAATTTTTCACCGTAAATATCACTTTAATCCCGGTAAATTTAATGTATAAACAACTATAATACTCTACACTAGACGAATTAATGGATTAATTCCAAGATCAACGTGAACTAATCTCTTGGTTAATTTAGTGCCAACCCGTATAGAAAATTCTCGTCTCAGATATTATAAATTGTCAGTTGAGTTACCGGGCGTGGGTTCAAGAAGCATAAATAAACTCCATAAAAAAAAAAAAAAAAAAACTAATTTTCATCTTTTCAATTTAAATTAAATGTGACAACTTAATAATTTATTGTCCTTTAAATATATTTGTATTAATGTCCAAATAAATTAAACCTTTTAATTTATTTATCTCTAATTGAAATAAGTGTTAATAAAATTTTCTTCAAAGATAAATTAAATTAAAGTGATGAAGAAAAACAACAAAGTAAGATAAATGTTAAAATAAATTAATTAATCAATTAACAAATAAAACAATAACTAATTTTTCAGCGCTTCTTTGAAGCTCCAAGTTCTGAAAAGTAATTTATAGCTTCTTATATTAGAAGAATATGTTCAACTGTTTTCAATTAAATACCATGTGCTCTACACGCTGCGTTAGGGGTCATAAGACAGGTTCCCATGCACGTGATCCGGTACATATTAATTCGCCGGTCTTAATTGAATTGCAGGTTCAATATGAATATCAAATATCAACACTATATCTTCAACGGGTTTAAACGAGCCCAACCTTTGGATTGGACAATTAAATTGTCCTGTATAAAAAAAAATAAAATAAAAATTTTCTTTGATAATTAATAACCCCGGTAATTAGATTAAACCCGTCAAATAAATTTGTGGATTTAAAATCTAGTTGGTATTATAGTCATTTGTATCGAGTTTTACAAGCTAAATTCTTGGCTGAGCTGATCAGCGAGCCAAGATAAATCTCCCTAAAATTTCTACATATTCGTTGACATAAAACAACCTTCATTTGGTGGTCTTCACTCTGCCGACGGCATATTTCGCGACAACCATTGAGTTATAGTCTTACATAGTCCTGTCGCCGACGCTGCATCTCAAATGCCAACTGCAGACTTAACTGGAGATAAACTTCTTAAGAATGCTCAGACAACTGCCACGCATTGCGAAATAAACACATATCTAAGAGAGTTATTTAAATAATTAATTAATTCATTAACTTAATAATTTTCTTATATTTTTTTGTCATCTATTATTTAGAAAATGCTCTATCTGTAGATACATAATTGAAAAATGACCTTATATCTCGTGAACTATTGACATTTTTAAAGATATAAGCTCATTTTGATGTTATGCTCATCGAGACCTTTCATTTGAGTACTCACATGCATTTTTGATATATTTTTCATATATTTTATGTATTTATATATTTTATATATTTATATATGAAAAATATATCAAAAATGCATGTGGGTACTCAAATGAAAGGTTTCGATGAGCATAACATCAGGATGAGCTTATATCTTTAAAAATGTCAATAATTATGAAATGACCTTGTATCTCGTGAACTACTGACATTTTTTAAGATATAAGCTCATCCTGATGTTACACTCATCGAGAGCTTTCATTTGAGTACCCATATGCATTTTTTATATATTTTTCATATATGTATTATATATACATATATATGAAAAATATATGAAAGTGCATGTAATGTGGATACTCAAATGAAAGCCCCTGATGAGTGTAACATCGGGATGAGCTTATATCTTTAAAAATGTCAATAATTAAAAAAGTACAGTGCAATTTAACAAAAGTCATTATTCGATAAATCAAAATTTTATTTATTTATAGTTCACAAGTCACGGTAGTCACATAGTGGTTCCTAGTTATATTGTAAATGAATTTATAAAAGTTTTCGGATACCTCAAATTAATTTTTTTCGAAGAATAATTTCTTCTATTTTCACTATATTTATTAAAACATATATACAGTTATTAGAAAAATAATTATTCAACCGTAATTTTCATTTAAATTCTCCTCTTCATTACTTTCTTCAGTTTTTTTGACCTTTGACACATCACTGTGATCAGTACTTTTAACATCGTCAACAGCAGCGTCTTGAAATTCCATTTTAACAGCCACCGGGGAAGTATCCTCGGATACTTTTTCTTTAACCTCGGGATTAGGATCCCGATTTTCTTCACCGTCCTCCATTATTTGCATCTCATTTATTTCCATAGACTCGGACTTATCAAGATTATCATTCTGTTTATTTGCATTTATTTGAGACTCAATAGCTTCTATTTCTTCGGCCAGAGCTTTTTCCCTTCGTTCCACTTCCGCTGCAATAAAAATAAATAATTAAAAATATATAACGCACATTAAGAAAGTTAATTGGTAAAAATAAAAATATTAAATATTATTTATATTCATAAGACTGCTAAAAAAAAAAATTGTAAGCCTTAAATCTCATTTAGATAAAAAATTTAAATCGCCTAAATTTCTGTAACGTGTACTGCACAAATTTACTGCACATTTATCTTTACTCGCATATGTATCTATATATATTCAAGCCTACTATTTTTATTTTTACTTTTGTATTCTTTTTTTTGTAAGATTAAAATAACAACTTGTTTTTAGATAACTTATATGAGTGATATGTTATCAAAAATAAAAACAAGACTCAATTTTTGGTAATTATTTTTTACTTATTGCTATAAAAAATATATAGTACAATATTAAGAGAAGAAATGAAATTATTAGCTTTAAAAAAAACAATATATTACAATTAAATATTTCAATTCAAAATTAATAATTAATTATTTATAATAAATTGTTCAAATTTTGAATATTACGGCGGAAATATTGGTCCTATAAAAAAATTTTTTAAACAAAATTCAATTTTATAAAAAAAAATGTCTTTTTTTTTTTTTTCAGTTAATAATTTCACTGTAATTTTAAAAACAAGAATTTTAAAATTTGAATTTTTTATTATGAAAGAAAATGAATATATAAATAAATAAATAAATAAATTTGAGCCGCTTGGGTAATTGCAGAGTATTATAGATAAATTTTAATGACATTAAAGTTAGCAGTCACTGGAGAATTTTTTAATTTTTTTTAACAAAAAAATTTGTTCCAAAAAATTGCATTTTTTATTTTTTAAAATTTCTATGTCAATTTTTTTTATATTTTTTTTGCCATAATTTTTTTGTTAAAAAAAATGATTAAATATCTGCTAAATTTACTATCATAAATTTTTGTATATTATTCTGGTTTTATGAATTAAAATAAAAATTGAAATAATAATAAAAAATTGTCCATACCATGGAGCTCTTTAGCACATTGTTCAAGCAGAGTATCCGTCTTAGGATGCTTCCGTTTTGGCAGATAATAAATAGCAGGTGTAGTTTGAGTTTTAATGAAAGACGCAAGCGGCAATTGCGCATTTTTCCAAATCTGAAATTGCTTACTGCGAGCTAATTTCGATTCCAGAGCTTTAACTTCAGCTAATTGCCGCTTTCGTGACAAAAATAATTGCTGTCGCTCGCGCTTTAGTTCTTCTTTTTCGCGTCTCTTGGCTTCCTCGACACGTGCTTCGACTTCTGCTTTTTTATCTTCCTGTTAAAAATTAAAAGTTAAAAAATTTATAAAAATAAATAAATATTTCCACTAGAAAAAAAAAAAATCAATCGAAAAAAATTACTTTAGCTTTAAGTTTAGTTTCTTCTTGACGAAATTTTTGCAGAGTACCAAGCAAGGCTCCGAACATTCGTTTGTTCCTTTGTCGGCTGCGTTCGTCGACACGTTCACGTCTAATAACTTCTTGCCGGGATGGTACTTCACGTGGCGTAGCAATGACTCGTGACGACACAGCTGGCTTCATAGGATTGTCGTCGTCATTGTCGCTGTCGTCCGCCGTTGACGGCACACGTGCGCTCAATCGACTGAAAACTGTCTTGGGTTCTCCAGGAGTCGCCGTCGGTGGAGAAGATAACGACTGGGATTGCCAGCGACTCCGTTTGTTACCCTGTGAATGATGGTCATTGTTGCCCATGTAATCTGGGATGTTTCTTTTGCGGTCATCTTGAAGTAATCTTTTTTGTCCGATTCTTTACAAATTAAATAATCTATATTATTAAGAGAAATTGGTATCGTTGGAAAAGTCTCAACCAATTTATTATTATAAATATTTAGACTGCATTCGAAAATGCTCTAATTAAGAAATGACCTTGTATCTCGTGAATTATTGACATTTTTAAAGATATAAGCTCATCCTGATGTTACACTCATCAAGACCTTTCGTTTGAGTACCCACATCAATTTTTCATATATATTTCATATATTTATATATTCTACAAATACCATATATATAAAATATATCAAAATTGCCATGTGGGTACTCAAATTAAAGGTCTCGATGAGTATAACATTGGGATGAGCTTATATCTTTAAAAATGTCAATAGTTCACAAGATACAAGGTCATTTCTTAATTATTGACATTTTTAAAAATATAAGCTCATCCTGATATTACACTCATCGAGACCTTTCATTTGAGTACCCACATGGATTTTTGATATATTTTTCATATATACATATATATAATAGATATAAATATATAAAATATATGAAAAATGCATGTGGGTACTCAAATGAAAAAGCTCTTGACGAGTGTAACATCAGAATGAGCTTATATCTTTAAAAATGTCAATAGTTAAGAAAGTACAGTGCAATTTAATAAAAATCTAGTTGCTAGTTACTTTATTATTAAATTAATAAAAGATAAAATTATTTTATTAAAAAATTTGACTTAAATTATTAAATTTATATTTTAATAATTTTTTTTATCCTCAAAAACCCTGACAATTTTTTAAATAAATAAATTAATGTCAAAAAAAAATAAAAATGCAATTTTTTGAATTTATAAAATAAATAAAAATAAATCACCTCACTGATTGTTGATTCATTCCATTTTCCGTATCTGGCAAATCCCGTCCAAGAATTTTACGTATATCACGGTCCAGTTCACGCAATCCATCTCTGGCAGCCTGGAGCTCAGCTTCTAGTTTATCAGCACCCGCATTGTCCAGAGAATCCAAATGCCTCATGTTTATTGTTGTCAAAAATAGTATTTATTTATACCAGTCTGTCTGCTCTACACAACATATTATTTAATTCGTATTATATACCTATATATACTGAAACTTATACTTATACTATGTATATAAATATACGTTGGAAATAATTTACTCACATGCTAGCTTTATAAATAAAAATGCCGGAATATTTATTTAACACAACGTACTATTCATTTTTTTTTTTATAATCCACTGTAGAGTTAGTTTTGTTAGATGTTTTTACAGTATGTATATTTTACAAAATCAATATTAATTTCTAGGAATATTTCGTCTCACTTTTTTCGGCGGCGGCTAAGTTAGGTTAGACTTAAAGTGTCATTTACAATTGGCGAATACACTCAAACTTTTTTAAATTTCAAATTACTCAAAATAAAAAATTAATATTATTATGATTATTAATTAACAAAAAAAAATTATTAAATAATTATATGAAAATTAATTTAGCAGATATTTAATAATTTTTAGAACTTTTGTTAATAAATAAATTACGGCAAAAAAAAAAGTTGACATTTAGAAATTTTAAAAAACTAATAATACAATTTTTTTTTAAATAATTAATTATAATTAATTTAATTGTTAAATAAAATTAAAAATTGGTTAACTGACAGGTAATATTAATGTCATAATAATTATTGATAATTAAAAAAATTATTAACTCTTTATCACCAAAAACTGTGAGATGCACAATTTAAATAACACTGAAGTTGTCAGACATTAAAAAATTTATTTTATAATTTTATAACAATAAAATTATTAAAAAAAAACTTAATTAAAAAAATGTCACGTGTTAAAATTATTAAAAAATTATCAGTAAAAATTTTTAGAAGCACTTTTTTAATTGTAATTATTATAAAAATAAAAAAAAATGACAGCTGACAGATAACTTCAGTATAACAAAAATTCAAACTACAAAAGCGCCACCTGTCAGTTAGAGGTTAGTAACAAAAATAACGACAATATCAACGGCAAGTAAAATTGTTATGGCGATTAATCCGTTTATGGTCCTATAAAAATTTCTCCACAAATAGAAAAAAAAAAAAAAAAAACCGAAATAGAAATTTGCCACGTAAATAGAAAAATATTAGAAAAGTAAAAGTCAGAAATTAAATGTAGTGAATCAAACAAGTGGTACGATAAAATAAAAGAAAAAAGTTTAAAGGATCAGTTTTAATAAATAATAATAAATACTTTTAGATGGGAATTTAAATCGACTAATAAACACGCAAAGGTCTGTTACGTAACTTGGTACATATGCACCGGTATTTAAATAAACCAGTGCATTGATATTTGCAAATAAAGCAGTGTCTCTGTCGTCAATTATCAACTAACAGAGCCTGGAAAAGTTTTATTGTGGCAAATAAAAAAATAAAATTAAATCGATGAAGAATTCTGTCATAAGTGTCAGCTATGTAGCCAATAATGTGACAGTGTTTTAAATAATCAACCAACAAATACAGTATTAATAATCGTCGTATTTTAAATTTAACAATAATAAAAAATATTTGTTTAAATATTTGTGAACAAATAATTTAATTGAAGTAATATATTCTTTCAAGTTATACAAATGGAAATATTTAACGAGTTAACTTAAATACAATGTAAATATTAATAATGTCAAGAGATCGTTTGAGCAATAATGATGGTAGTATTAATCCAATACATACTTGGATTTAATTTGCATTTAAAATTCAAGACCATTGGACTTTGTTTTTGCGTATAGCTTAATAATCTCAACAGTTTTTCCGATTCTAAAGGTAGTTAGATCAGCTCTTTATTTAATTTAATTACTGTTCAACGTTACTAGATTAAATATTATTGTCATTTTATTCCGGAGAGCCGTCACGAGTGTAAGAGTTGTTATTAAAAAGTGTTGAGAGTTATTTTGTTTGTTTAACCATCAATACAATAATTTAATCATGGATAAGTCAGAGTACTATGACTTGATAACGGAGCGGAGAAAATCTTCTGACATAATGTGGGCCTCCAGGTATGAAAAATAATTTAGCAGATATTTGATAATTTTTGTCAACAAATAAATTATGGCAAAAAAAATTGACATGTAGAAATTTTAAAAAATAAAAAATGCAATTTTTTTTAAATAATTTTTTGGAGCAAATTTATTTATTAAAAAATTATCAAGTGACAGCTAAACTTTAATATCATATAATGTAGCAGATATTTGATAATTTTTAGAATTATTGCTAACAAATAAATTATGACAAAAAAAATTGACATGTAGAAATTTAAAAAAATAAAAAATGCAATTTTTTTTTAATAATTTTTTATAATTAATTTAATTGTTAAGTAAAATTAAAAAGTGGCCAGGTGACAGCTAACTTTAATGTCATTCTCCAGGTACATGGACATTGTAGTCCCGCATTATTTGTCACCTGAACACAACTGGACCAGGAATCAAGCCATAGAGTTTACTCTGAAACACCCTAAGGTGCTTAATACTATTGAATCGCTCGCTGAGTCTCAGGGTGTTGACAGAGCTGTCATTGTTCGGGAGGCTAAGAATATTCTTGAGGAAGTTGCCAGTAGACACAATTTACCGACCTTCAGATGGCTAGGTAATATTTATTTATTTATTTATTTATTAATTATGATACTGAAATTTAAAGACATCTGACAATTTATAGAAATTTTTTAAATAATTTATAATAGCAAGAAAAATTTATTTTTAAAATTACTTCTTTAAAAATTGTCAAAAACTAGAATTGCAATTTTTTAAAAATAGTTTTTCAGAAAAAATTTGTTTATTAATTAAAATTAAAAAATTATCAAGTGACTCTTAACTTTAATGTCATTAATTATTAAAATAATTAATTTATTTAATAAATAATTATTAAAATTTATTATTAAAGAAAAATAAAAAAATTTTCAATGTCATAATTAATTATATTATTTATAAATTAATTTAATAAATAATTGCAAGTTCATTTTTTTCTGTATGGTAATAAGTATTTGTTTTAATTAAATTTCCTTCGTCATAATCAATACAGCATATATTTAATCCTAATCTTTGCATTGTCTATAGGCTGCCAGCTAAATGGATTACTGTTGCATTATTGCTGCCCTGAGAAAGCGGCCTTGTAAAATAATATTGAAAAAAAAAATTTTTTTTTCAAATAATTTTATTTAGATTGATAATCAAGAAAATTAATGATTATTGATAAGAAATTGTTTTGTTGCAGCAATAATCGTGGTAAAAGTATTGAAGCGTATCCTTCAGAGCTTCAGAGCAAACGTAAAATATGTATTAGACATAAAAAGCCAAATGATGTACTCAGATGTGCAATATGTCTACGTGCCATCACACCGGAGTTATTTAGATTTTATATTAATGTCTTATCTGCTGTTTAATTATGATATGGCGATACCAAACATAGCCAGTGGTATGGACTTTTATCGCATGAATATCGTCGGAGAAATATTGCGAAAAACAGGTGCTTTTTATATGAGACGCAGCTTTTCTTCAGATGTATTGTACAAAGAAACTTTCAAAGCTTATGTTGCTTCTTTAGTCGAGCATAGCGATCGCGCTATTGAATTTTTTATTGAGGGAACTAGGAGCCGTAGTCAAAAAAGCATTGCTCCTAAATTTGGTAAGTTTATACTAAGTTGCACTGTACTTTCTTAACTAGTGACATTTATAAAGATATAAGCTCATCCCGATGTTACACTCGTCAAGAGCTTTCATTTGAATACCCACATCAATTTTTTATATATTTTTCATATATACATATATATAATATATATAAATATATAAAATATATGAAAAATTCATGTGGGTATTCAAATGAAAGGTCTCGATGAGTGTAATGTCAGAATGAGCTTATATCTTTAAAAATGTCAATAATTAAGAAATTACTTAGTATCTTGTCAACTGTTGACATTTTTAAAGATATAAGCTCACCCCGACGTTACACTCACCGAGACCTTTCATTTGAGTACCCACATCAATTTTTCATATATTTTTCATATATACATATACATAATATATATAAATATACAAAATATATATGAAAAATTGATGTGGGTACTCAAATGAAAGGTCTCGATGAGTGTAATGTCAGAATGAGCTTATATCTTTAAAAATGTCAATAGTTCACAAAATTATTCTTATTCTCTTAATAATATAGATTAAAATATTAATATATTTTATTACTTTTAAAGGTTTACTAGGAATGATATTGGAGTCATTATTCCAGGGAAAAATTCCCGATATATTATTCGTACCAGTGTCAATAAGTTATGATAAACCTTTAGAAGAATCCTTATTTTCATACGAATTGTTAGGAGTGCCAAAACCAGCTGAGACAACAACAGGACTCTTTAAATCATTGTCAATATTACGTGAACACCAAGCTCATGGGCACGTTTATTTTCATGTCTCACCTCCAATATCAGCCGCTAAATTCATGGATGTTTCATCTAGAAAATTAAGTGCCTTAAATCCGAACTCTCGAGTTCCAGCTGAAGTTGTAAAAAACATAGCTTATGCAATCATCGACAGTCACAAAGAACACACCGTATTTATGCCGATAAATTTAATAGCTGTTCTTGTTAACGAGAGAATTCACTCGCATCCAGGAAATCCTTATACCTTCGACACATTGCTGCAGGACTATTGTTGGCTGAAGAAATTAATCACTCAGTCTTTGGGGGCTTCTGTTTATCCAGCACCGGAAAAGTAAAAAATATATTTTTGATTTTTTATTTTTAAACTGTTAATTGTTTTTTTTTTTTTTAATTGTTTGCAGTCTGGAAGAGGATCACATAAGGAGGTCTGAGAAAGACGAAATAAAAGAATCATTGTTTACTCACAGAAATTTACTCGGATTTGATAGTAATGGGCTGCTAATAATTCACGGGTCTCATCGTGAAATTAAGTCTAACAAAACAATCCGCGTGAAAGGTCACACGCTTGATGACCGAACAATGTCAATAGCCGTCCCGACTATAAACCTCGCTATATATGTCAATCCTATTTTTGCAATATTTACTAAATTATCCATTGCTGTACTGTCAATTAACAGTAATAATTTATCTCAAGGTAAAGTTCGTAATTTTTATTTTTAGACAAGTTTATTATTTAATAGATATTTAATAATTTTTATAACAAATCAATTATTTAAAAAATTAAAAATTCAATTTTTTGGAACAAATTTTTTTGTTAAATAAAATTTAGCTTTATTCAATAATGACTTGTTAAATTGCAATGTACTTTCTTAAATATTGACATTTTTTAAGATATAAGCTCATCTTGACATTACAGTTATCGAGACCTTTCATTTGAGTACCCACATGGCAATTTTTATATATTTTATATATATATATATATGGTATTTGTGAAATATATAAATATATGAAATATATGAAAAATTGATATGGGTACTCAAATGAAAGGTCTCGATGAATGTAATGTCAGGGTGAGCTTATATCTTTAAAAATGTCAATAGTACACAAGATATAAGGTCATTTCTTAGTTATTGACATTTTTAAAGATATATGCTCATCCTGACAATACACTCATCAAGACCTTTAATTTAAGTACCCACATGGCAATTTTTATATATATTTTATATGTATGGTATTTGTGGAATATATAAATATATAAAATATAAGAAAAATTGATGTGGGTACTCAAATGAAAGGTCTCAAAGAGTATAATGTCAGGGTGAGCTTATATCTTTAAAAATGTCAATAATTCACAAGATAAAAGGTAATTTCTTAATTATGTTTCTAGAGATAGAGCATTTTCAATACAGCCTAAATACTTATCATAATAAATTAACTATCGGTGAATTATTTATATTTTTTATAGAAATTGCGGAAGAGCAATACCTTCTATTGAGATCGTTGCTGACAACTGAATTTGCATTACCAGATAACATGAATCGAGGAATGATAATTGATGAATTCAGAAAAGAATTATCCTTCTTAATAAATGAAAAATGTTATAGAATCGACAATAATCAACTGTCTTATGACTGTAACAATTATTTAAGAATGATGTTGTATAATCTAGTACTGCCATTTATTTCCGCGGTATACGTCACTTGCGTCGTTTTACTCCAGGTAAATTCAAAAAATATTTTTTAAAATAATAATAATAATAATATTAATAATAATAAAAATAATTTGAAATATTTTACAGTGGGACAAGTCGATGGACGAATTATCGGATCAAGAGATAATGAAAGAATGCCAAAAACGTACCGAAGTATTATTATTCCAAGCAGAAAGTTTTATCAATCATCCGTACACATTATCGTTAGATTTATACACATCAACGGTAGTTAGTTTGACATCATTCGGAGCATTGACACCCGTCGAGGGTAAACCCCGAGTTTACAATCCCGACAAACCAAAATTATCCTCAATAATCAGCGATCTTGAAAAAATAATGTCGCAAAGATCACCAGGAAATTACGTAGACCTAGCTCAAACTTATTTCCACTTGGAAAATACTCTCCAAGCCAAGCTTTGAGTATATATTCATAAATTTATAATCTTCATACTACACAATATGTTTTAAAAGTATTAGCAAAGATTTTTTAATGATAAAAAATCTTTGCTGGTTTTTAACACTCAGTATGTACGGAGGCATTTTCCACGGCAATTTATTTCTCATTTTTTAGAATAAGTAATAGCTGACTAGAATTTTTAATGAGTGATTTTTTTTATACCACGGGAATTATTTGTCGTGAAGCAAAAGAGTCCACCCGGTTGATGTATTAACTCTGATTGAATATAAATATATAAATATATCAATATTATTAATATTATAAATATAAATATAAATAGAAGCTCAGTGAATTTCAATCAAAGTTTTTAATCAAATTTATCTTGGTTGATAACTCAATAGAAAATTTTTTTTTTAACTTTAGAATTTTATCTTTTAAGTAATAAAATTATTTTTTAAACCTTTTTTTTTTTTTATAAAATTTCTGTAACCATTTTTAATTATGTAATAAAAAATTTTTTTCAATTTGTATTGTTTTTTTTTTTTTAATTTATAAAAAATTAATTTAGCAGATATTTAATAATTTTTTTAACAAATAAATGATGGCAAAAAAAAAATTGACGTAAAAATTTTTAAAAATTAAAAATGCAATTTTTTGAGAAAAATTTTTTTATTAAATAAAATTAATTTAAATTGAGACAGCTGATAATTTTTAGAATTTTTTTAACAAATAAATTATGGCAAGAAAAATTTTTAAAAAATAATAAATGCAATTTTCTTAAAAATAATTTTTTTTTATTAAAAAAAAAATTTTAATACTCGACCCGTTAAAAATTACCAGATTATTTATTTTCCAACTACCAACTTAACTAAAAAATTTTTGAAATAAAATTTTAAAAATAAATACCTTTAAAGCTCCAAAAAAAAAAATTCAAATTTAAGAGCGATAAATTCTTGCGATAAAACTTGGCTCTGTGCCTGAATATAAATAATAAACAGATCTATATACTGTTAAAATATATACTAGATTAATAGTATCATCGATTTAATAGTCATTATGACATAGACAATGACAAATGGCATTTTGTCTTGAATCCTGGTATTGAACAAACTGATCAAGGCCACCCGAGTTCTGTAAAATAAATATTTATTTAAATAAAAATTTAGAGTATTAGATGTTGCCTATATTTTTATTTCAGATGAACATCTGAATGAAGGAAAAGGTCATGTAATTTATTTTCAAGGTGACGTGACGGATTTGTACAGTATTATGTAATAAACGATCTTGACAATAAAAATTAAGTGGCATTGTTTAGAAAGTACTGATCTGGGATCGAAAGTTCATGGTAATTACCGTATGTTGGAACGCGGTAGAGCGTTCTTTGGAAAAATTTGTTTTGCGCATGCGCAGAACGCACATGTGCAAAGGTTCTGCGCACTTAGTTTCAGCGGGAAAATTTAAAAATGGGTGCGTTCTTTGGAAAAAATAACAATAAACAACATTATAAAAAATAATAACATATTATTTTAATAGTTTTTTTTTGTGTTAATATTGAATAATAATAAAGTTAGCCGACGTTTTTAATTTTTTGACTTTTTTTTAATTATTAAATCAAAACTAAAAAATATTTTTAAAAAATTGCACTTTCAGCTTTTCGAGTTTTTTACAAATGAAATTTTTTTTTAAATTATTTTATAATTTTTTTTAATAAAAAAAAAATTCTAAAAATTTTTAGATGTTGGCTAACTTAATTTTCATTAATATTAATATTACTAAAATCAGCTGATATTTAAAAATAATATAAAGTTTTTTGATGAAAATAAAGTTAGCCGACATCTAAAAAATTTTATAGATTTTTTTTATAAAAGAATTATTTAAAAAAATTAAAAAAAAAAATCTTTTCATTTGTTAAAAACTTGAAAAACTATAAGTACAATTTTTAAAAAATATTTTTTAGTTAAAATTTAATAAATTAAGCAGAATAAAAAAATCAAAAATGTCGGCTAACTATTATTATAATTTTTTTGTAAGTAATAATTAAATTACCCAATAAATACTATTAAAAATTAAATTATTATTGTTATAATTACAATATAAATTAAAAACAATAATAAGAAGTGTGTAAGGTAAAATATTGAGACATATTAGTAATAATTTAATAGACTAGTTACAATAATTAGATAAAATCTTGATAAATAATGAATTTCATATATTTTTTATTATTTAAAATTTTAATAGACTTATTTCTAAATAACAGGTTTTTTTTACAATTAATATTCAATTAACGCTTACAAGTTTAGTAAATAATAAATCGGTTATAAGACTAAAAAAAAAAAGCTAACTAAAATATTTTTTAGAAAAAAAGTCAGTCACTAATTTTGAAATTGAAAATTCGGTGAAATGATTCCTAATTTAATAATTTATCACTCATAAATTAATATTTATTTACAGTTAATTTAGAGAACTGATTAACAGAGTTAAATATATTTGTTAACAATCATAAAAATAATTAACAATCAATAAACAAATTAAATTTTACAGTTGCTAATATGATTTGTAACAATATTCGCTTTTCACCACCTTGAAAAATAATTTTAATTTTTTTTATAATAATAATAATAATTGTCATTTATGAGTTTGAAAAATAATTTTAAATATTTATTAAATATGTACGTAAATTTCAAGGTAACTAAGCAAGTGCGCCGATTTTATGACTTTAATTGACTAATTTTTGTCTAAAGATTAAATTTAAAGAATTTTAATGTCAAAAAAAAAAACTAAATAATTAATTACGTATTGAGTGTGGATAATTGATGTAACAAGGTGATGAAAAGTCCGTAGAATTATTTCCTCAGTTGGGAAACCTGTAAAAAAAAAAAAAAAAAAAAAAAAAACAGCTCTCTCCGTATAAATTAAAGATTAATTTATTTTTTGTACTATTTAAATAATAAAGTCTAGAAAAAAAATATTAAAAAAAATGAATTAAATATTGGACTTGTATCAAAGACAAAAATGAAAAAAATAGTTCGTAACACTTATAAATATTTTTTTTACCTTGCGTACGTAACAAATTAATAAATAAATATAAAGACTTTGAAATAGACATGTATTCTAGAGATCATAAAACCCCTGTACCATAGTTTTAATTACGATGACAAAGTCATAAGGACACCAATTATGTGTGTTACCATTTAATGTACCTCAACAAATTTTTAATTTCACCGAAATATTATTCGTCTTCTGTGTCACCGTCGCTGCTGTATTCTTGTTGGACTACGGGTCTCACGAATGGTGCATTATTCATTTGACTGCAAGATAAAGAAATTTTATTGATATAGTGGATATAATCCCAGATTATACTGAGTGAAAAAAATTTCAGATAGTAGCTAGTATAATCCAGACAACAATGAGTATAATCCAGATTACAATGAGTATAATCCAGATATTATTCAGTATAATCTGGATTATACTAGCTACCGTCTGAAACATCTTTTTTTCACCTCAGATGTCACTGAGTATAATCTGAGATGGTATCCAGTGTCATCTTGTTTTTTCCGTGTAGTTACTTTAAAAATGGCTGTAACTTCTGAAATATTGATTTTGGAGAAAAATTATGAGACTAAAATTGTAGCCTGAGAGATTTTGTATTAAAAATGTTTTTATAATATAGGGCTATCTTCAATATTTTAGAAGATATAAATTGATTTGTAATTTAAGCAGTATTTAGTTAGAGAAAAATCATTATCTAGTCATTAAAAAAATGGTTGTAACTCCTTAAATATTAAGTTTTGAGAAAAATTGTAAAATTATAATTGAAGCTTATGAAATTTCCTACAAAAAATGTTTCTATACTATGGGACTATCTTCAATATTTTAGGAGATATAAATTGATTTGTAACTTAAATAGTATTTAGTTGGAGAAAAATAAAAAAATCATTATCTAGTCATTAAAAAAATAGCTGTCTTCCTTAAGAATGGATTATCTTCAATATTTCAGGAGATACAGTGTCTTAAATAGTGCTGACATACTTGTAAATACCAATAAAATAAAATAATAGTAATAAATGAATAATTACACTAATCTTCGATAGTGGTTAAGCCACTCCTCCAACATTTGGGCAACAAGAAGTGGCCTTTTGTGTAACTTCTGTTGGGCAACAAGAATTCCACCCTCAGTGGTACAGACATCCAACCACTGCTTCAGTATCGTTTCTTCCCTGCCAATTTCTTCGGGAGTTAAAAAATGAATTGGCAATAATTTTCTTTCCCTGTCCATCAAAGGCATGAAAGTCGTCTGCATTTGAATCTGCAACTGCTGCATAGGACTGTTTCCTCCACCGACTCCCACGCTTCCGTGAGAAGGTAACGTTGATAATCTTGAAGATGCGTATGGTTCTATTGAGACGAGAGCTGTAAAGTGGCCACGTGTGTAACCTAGTGCGATTGGCGAGCGAATGCAAAAAGAAGGCTCCCACAACAAAGGTAGATATACTCCTTCAAATCTTGCGTATCCTAAAAATCATCAAGCCAAACAATTAAATTAATGTATTAATAATTTAATAAATAAAAAATTTTTTTCTTACCTATATCTTCTCCACGGAAACTTTTAACATATTTAACTCCGTAAACAATAATAGGCCTTCTTAAAATATGGGCAAGAGTAAAAACGTGCAATTGTTCCAATGCACTGCCTGGCTGTGCTGCTGTAGCTAGTAAATTTTCCCAATCATCCTGCCATTGAGCTTCTTCTAGAGTAAAATCTATCATTCTTGATGCTTGGGATGCTTCATATTGTCGCCACCGTAGATAAAAACTGTAAAAATTGTTTTTATTAAATTTTTTAAATAAATTAAGAAATGACCATGTATATTGTGAACTATTGACATTTTTAAAGATATAAGCTCATCCCGATGTTACACTCATCAAGACCTTTCATTTGAGTACTCACATAAATTTTTCATATATTTTATATATTTATATATATCACAAATACCATATATATAAAATATATGAAAATTGATGTGGGTACTCAAATGAAAGGTCTTGATGAGTGTAACATCGGGATGAGCTTATATCTTTAAAAATGTCAATATTAAAGAAAGTACAGTGCAATTTAACAAGTCATTATTAATGAAGCAAAATTTTTTTAGACTTACTATTGACCAGCTTGTTGCAAAGAATCGGCAAGCGCTCGTCTGAGGTTATTGTCACGATCAAAAACTCCCCAAGTAGCTTGCATTACCGAGTCTAATAAGCAGTCGCCGGCAGAACGATTCCACAAGGCGTGTAAACGACTGCCTAATCGCTCTGTTATTTCTAATGACCAATTAAGCGCCGGCGGCTCTCCATCACTCCCTTCTAATTGTTGCTGAGCTTCTCGGTCTAATAACTCTTCTAGCATTTGTTCTTGAACAGAACTTGGAAGATCTTCCACCTTGAAATTAAAAAAAAAATATTTTTTAGTTAACAATAAAATTATTTAATTTAATTCAATTAAAAAAGAAAATTTACCTCTGCAGGTAACGCAAATGTTGCCATATCTGTGACAAAATAACAAGAAAATGAACCTTTACGTGAACGGATGCTGTTAGCAACATGCCTACGTATCTGAGTAGCCAAATCTGGAGCTACATAACTCGGAACTCTTTTTATTCCTGACCCAGAGCCTTCTATTTGTGATAAAAGTGTCGCTAGAATATCTTCACGTTGAAATCTGCAGAAAAAAAAAATTATTTTTAAATTAATAAGTTAAAAAAAATTTTTTTTTTTTAATTAAAATAAAAAAAAAGAACCTTATGGCCAAATGAACAAGAGTGTGTCCAACATCAAAGGCACTATTTCTGTTGAGTAATTTAACTTCGGAAGGGGTCAATTGACGTGTTGGGTTGCCACCACTCGCTAAATACGCTTCTACTGGTGGATTGTCGCCTTCGACGATTCCAAGACAGGCGTTCAACCAGCACCAATCAGTATGACGCCTAAGTCTGCTTTCATAATCACAATCGTTGGAACTCTGGTTTATTGGCAAAGAATCATTTCTAGGATCGAATCGGTGTGAACTTCTGTGAAAAAAAATTATTAAATAATTCTTAATAAAAATTTTTATTAAAAAAATGTGTATTATCATTTTTTATACGATCAAAATCTTATTAATAATAAATTATTAATCATTTTTGCTTATTATAAAAGTCTTAATTTTTAAATTACGGCTTTGTAATTAGTTTAAAAAAAAATTATGAGATATTTTTTTTGTAAAATTAAATTTTGAACAAATTGTTTAAAAAATTTTTTTATACGACCAATATTTTTGCCTTAATATCAAAAATTAAGATTCATAATAAATTATTAAAATTTTTTCTAATTATAAAAATCTTAATTTTTAAATTGTGGCTTTTTAATTAGTTTAAAAAAATTTATGACATTTTTTTTTTTGTAGAATAAAATTTTAAATTAATTGAATAATTAATAAAAATTTATAAAAAAAAATTTTACCGTCTGGCAATGGCTGAATTCTCATCACGTTGAGCTTGATGAATGAACGGCTGAGGAGGCGAAGGCAAGCCTCTTTGATTGTGATCTTTCTCGGGGCTCGGTAGAATAAGACAGGAGTTAGAACTAGATTTATCTTTTTTATCACGCTCTTTCAGGTAACCACACATAACACATTTAACGGCCTTGGGCCAATTTTCGTAAGTACAAACAAGACAGGACCATTTATCAGTAGCAGTATTATTTGTGTTAACAGATAAATTCTGGCCGGAGTTTGGCGCAGGCAGCTGGTGGGCTGGCGGGTCGCTTAGTCTCAGCGGTGCTAAATGTTCATGCAAATTAGAAGCTGAATATACTTGCTGGTTAATATTAACCGATTTTTTACTGTTACACTGGATACAACGGGTTGCGTTGTTATAATTGAAATAAGTGCATAATTCACAGGACCATTTACCACCGGAAGGTACGTTTTGACTATGATTTTGTAGGCTAAAATTACAGGAGTCTGTCGAGGAACTTAAAGGTACTGGACCGGATGCGTCGTTTGATCCTGCTCGCTGGGGATTCGGATCTCGAAGCCTGTAGATGTCTTCGCCCAACAGTGGCTTTGAGCCTCTGCACATCGTACATTTCAGCGATGACGGCCAGTTTTCATAAGTACAGTACTCGCATATCCACTTTGAATGCGACTCTTTTGGCTGAGTACTCATTATTAATCAAAAACAGTCTGAAATTTATTTTTTATTAGTATTAAATAATTTTTTTATTTATTTATTTATTGATACTGAAATTAAAAAACATTTAATAAAATTTTTTTAATCATACTTTCATAAAAAAAAATTGTTCTGACTTTTTATTTCAGTATAAAATTGACAGTACCTTAAAAATATAATTTATTTTGAAGTTTTTTAAATAAAAAATTATTAAGTTAGCTTAGCAGATATTTAATATTTTTAAGAAATAAATTATGACAAAAAAAATTGAATATAAATTGAAAGAAACTAGCTGCAGTCACTACGTGACTGCTGTGACTGGTAAACTATACATAAATAAAATTTTGCATTATTAAATAATAAATTTTGTTAAATTGCACTGTACTTTTTTAACTATTGACCTTTTTAAAGATATAAGCTCATTCCGATGTTTCACTCATCAAGAGCTTTCATTTGAGTACCCACATACATTTTTTATATATTTTTCATATATTTATATATATTATATATATATGTATATATGAAAAATTGATGTGGGTACTCAAATGAAAGGTGTTGATGAGTGTAACATCGGGATGAGCTTATATCTTTAAAAATGTCAATAGTTGATAAGATACAAGGTCATTTCTTAATTATTGATATTTTTAAAGATATAAGCTCATCCCGATGTTACATTCATCAAGACCTTTCATTTGAGTACCCACATGACAATTTTTATATATTTTATATATATGGTATTTGTGATATATATAAATATATAAAATATATGAAAAATTGATGTGGGTACTCAAATGAAAGGTCTCGGTGAGTGTAATGTCAAGGTGAGCTTATATCTTTAAAAATGTCAATATTTCACGAGATCCAAGGTCATTTCTTAATTATGTATCTAGAAATAGAGCATTTTTGAATGCAGCCTAATTATTTATTATAAAAAAACCGATTTTATCTTGGAAACAAAATTGTTCTTATTCTCTTAAGAATATAAATTAAAAATCTAATTTTTTTATAAATAATTTTTTGTTTCTTCTTGTTAAATAAAATAAAAAAAGAGTTTAATGACTGCTAATTTTAGTATCATAAAATTATAAAGTTAAATAATTTAAGAAACAATATTAAAATTGTTCTATTAAAACAAAGTAAATAATGTAATTTACTAAAAAAAAATCAAACAAAATAAATTTGTAATACTTTCTTGGTACTGTCATAAAGAAAAAAAAATTCAAACAGCCTGACAAAAATTAATAAATCCACTAATTACTCTAAAGTAAACAAAAAACACATTCACTCAAGCTGAACACATTTTTCTGAGCAAAAAAAAAACCAATTTGTCAGGCGTCTGCTATTAAATATTAAATATATATTTTCCATAAAATATTACCTTCGAATAATAATATTATCTCTGTGATAACCTAGTTAAAATATAATATTATTTATTGAATTATATTAACTAGTATCTGGTCGTATTATAAACATTTCAATAATTATTAACAACAATACTACCGAATATAATAAATGTAAATTTATCTGAAAAAAAAAAAAAAAAAGTAGCTTTCATTAATAACAATAATAATTTTATCAAGAGTTAAAATAATAATGAAAGTTATATACCTGAAACCTAGAAGCTGGTGAATTAACTTAGAGCGCAAACGGTGAGCCAAATATTTATTTTTATCACGTATAACATTAGAGGTGATAGGTTAGAGTTGATAAAAATTACCAATAATTCCACGATGGTATTGTCAAGTACAAGCTTGTAATTAAAAACAAGCCTAATTAGTAATATGGAAGATAATAATAATTACTAATGAGTTTTGCAACGCATCAGTGTCAGTACTAATAAAAAGCACCTGCATTAGACAACTAAAAATCAATAATTATTATTAATATCAATTTTTAAATAATTACACAGATATATCGTGAGCTGGTAGTATACAATAATAATAATAATAATAATAATAATAATTAGTTGTTTGTATTTCACTATCTAGTTCTGTGGTACTGCATTGTACGTTTTTAAATGACAAATACGAGGAGCGATGTTAAAGTTAATGAGATTTATTAAATATAAAACTCAGCTCCTTAAACTTGAATCCGAATAACAAAAACATATATATGTACGGATAGTTTTGTTTATGTTACAACTCTGTTAACTCTTATCACTCCGAGAACTACCAGTCTTCTCACAATTACCGTCGGACATAATAATATTTATTTAGATTTGTTCGACGAAACTCTAGCTCACTCGACAAGTGTACATAGTATGGAAAGTGGATTTTGACAGTCATTCGCAACACACGCAGTGCTACCAACTTTTCACTCACTAATTAAATTTGTTTTTTAGTTTTTTATAATTATTATTATTATTATTATTATTATTATATGTTTTTTAACACTAAAGTTGACAGGTATTTTTTATTTAATTATTGTCAAAATTAATTATTTTTTATGAGATTAAATTTAGCTGTCACTTGACAATTTTTTTAATAAATAAATTATGACAAAAAAAAAATTATAAAAATGCACTTGTAGAAATTTCTAATGCAATTTTTTAAAAATAATCTTTTAGAACAAATTTTTTTGTTTAAAAAACTTAAAAGATTGTCAAGTGACAGCTAAATTTAATGTCATTAATTTTTGTTATTAAATTAATACACAGCTGTCAATTTCTCTAACTAAATTATTCTTTTTAACTAAATTATTTTTCCAAAAAATTATTTTTAAAAATTTACATTTTTTATTTTTTGAAATTTTTACATGTTAATTTTTTTGCCATAATTTATTTTAATAATAAAGTTAGCTGACATTTTTGATTTTGCTTAATTTATTAAATTATAACTAAAAAATGTTTTTTAAAAATTGCACTTTTATAATTTTTCAAGTTTTTAACAAATGAAAAAATTTTTTTTTAATAAAAAAAATCATAAAATTTTTTAGATGTCAGCTAACTTTATTTTCATTAATTTATTTGTTAAAAAAATACAACATTAAAGTTAGCAGTCACTTCACAATTTTTTTTATTTTATTTAACAAAAAAATCGTTGAAGAATTACAAGAGGCTTATTTTACAATTCACACAGTTTACAATCAGATAACTTTATAAGTTTCTGCGGTAAAAATTGACTAAATTCTCATAAGGTAAAAGACCCAATTGACACTTGCAATTTTATTTAAAAAAAAAAAAAAAAAAAAAAACAAAAAAAAAAAAAACAATTGTTTAATTACAAATTTTAAGATAATATAATAGTAAAGTTAGCCGACGATTTTAATTTTTAGATATCTTTTTAATAATTAAATTAGAACAAAAAAATATTTTTTAAAAATTGCACTTACAGTTTTTTAAGTTCTTTGCAAGTGAAAATTTTTTTTTTATTTTTTCAATAAAAAAAAAATTCTAAAAATTTTTAAATGTCGGCTAACTTAATTTTCATAAGATAATTGATTTTTTGAGAACATCTTATTTTTTTAACAGCCGGTCCTTTTTTTTCTCGCCATAATTGCAGTTTTGTTTTTCTTTTAAACAAATGAAAATTTCGAAAAAAAACGCTCTGATATAAAAATAAATAATTAAAAAATCTATTATGTAGCAAAGCGGTTTTTTCAAAAGTCTTCTTTGTATAAAAAAAAAATAAAAAGCTGCATAGAGACCGGTACTTATTTAGAATAAAATTGCAAGTGTCAATATCTTGGTTTTTTTTTACCTTAGCCGCAGATTTTTGTTTTTCGCTACTTTATAAATGACTGAATTAATATTTAGTAAAATTTCCATTTCGCTAATTTCATTAATATAATTTTTTACTTTCAACTTATTTTACAAATAACATTATAAACTAATTTCCAAATTTATAATTAATAAATATTCTAATTTACAAACAATTATTTTCCAGTAAACTTAAAAACTTACTTTAATTACTAACGTGTATTTTTTATAGATTAAGATCTGTACTATCTAAAAAAATGTATTTAGAAATAAAAAGATTAGAGTAAATTTAAATAGATTTTAAGAATAAGGAAGCTTATTGCATAAATTTATTATTTATAAAAAGTAATTTTTATTTTTAATCATTAATTAAATTTTGCAGTAGATTTTTGCACGGTTTAATGGATTAAAATAAAATAGCTTTGAAAATTGAGAAGAAATAAATTGAAAAAAAAATTTGCCGTTTACTGTCACGCTGTAAACTCTAATCTAAAAAAAACTATATATATATATAATATATATTTTATTTATATATTAAAATATAATATAATATAATAAATAATAACCGACTGTATTTATTGTAAATAGTCACGATGTTTGCTATGGTATAATTACAATAATATATTATAAATATAAATATAAATCTATATATAAATATAAATATAAATATATCTGTAATTGGATGATCTGCCTGATTTGAACAAGAGCCCAATAAATAAAAAAATAAATAAATAAACTTATTATCCTATCTCACAAACAATATCTACATTAAAAATAAAAAAAAAAATCAGATAAAATAAGAATAATAATTATTATTAATAACGTGTTCAAAATACGATAAAAAGCACTTGATCGATTGTCAATATTTAATATTTATATACGAGACACAGAGTTAATTGTAACTCTTTTAAATTTATTGAACCAAGTCTTTAAAATTTCTCAAAAACAGTAATTAAAAAAAAAAATAATAAAATTTATGTACTAATGTCGCGAGTCCGGGCGAGAGTAAAATTTATTTTTAAAATAAATTATTTAATGCTCGGAAGAAAACTTTAAGCGATATCTGCCAGTTGTGACATTAAATGCTAAATGTCCAATAATTTATACTATTGATTATTAATTATTAATTATTATTATTAATATGATTAATTATTATTATTATTATTATTATAAGTGCGATATATTAAGTGTTTTGAAAAAATATATGATCTATATATGATAATAAAAAAAGGGAAAACCGTTTTTAAGTTCATTTGTATTTTAATTGCTGTCAATAATCCATCCGTGCTTTTAATTTCTTCTTTAATCCTACCGCCAAAAATAAACTAATCCCCTGAAATTATTTTAAATATTTTAATTATTTAGTATGACATTATAATTAGCAGTTGATAATTTTTTAATTTTTTTTAACAAATAAATTTCTTCCAGAAAATAATTTAAAAAAAAATTGCATTAATTATTAATTTTTTATAATTTCTTTATATCAATTTTTTTTTTTATAATTTATTTGTTAAAAAAAATTATTAAAATTTAATATCTGCTTTATTATTACCATATTTTTTAATTTTTTTTTAACAAACAAATTTCTTCCTAAAATTAATTTTTAAAAAATTGCATTTATAATTTTTTATAATTTCTTTGTCAATTTTTTTTTTTTTTTAATTTATTTGTTAAAAAAATTATTAAATATCTGCTTAATTATTACCGTAGTAAATGAAATAAAAAGTATCGCTATTGTCACAGTATCGACATTTGATTTCAACATCAGGTAAGCATTTTTCAAGCATCCTGATTTATACGCCACGTCTGGAGACATTTGAAGACACTAAAAATAAATTATTAAATAATTAAACTTAAAAAGTATAATAAAAATTAAAAAAATCTAAATTAATTACTCGTTCGATTAATTTAGAACAGCAACTTTGAGGAATTTCCATCATATATTCTCCCCAGTCTTTGTAAGATTTTATTCCGCAGCATTTTAACTGTAATTATTAATTAAAAAAAAATCTCCTAATTACAAAAAAATGATGTAATTACTTACATATTGCTGAGTATTATCCCAAGCCTCAGTGACCCAATCTAAAGATTGATATTTAATAATCGTCGCGGTCATTTCTTCGCGTATTTTTGTGGTAATCCGTTCGAAAACTGACGTGCTCATTACTGAGCAGATAAAAATGACGCATAGGGACAATGAATGGCATACAATGTACTAAAAATTAATAGAATTAATTAAAATTATAAAATTAAATGAAACAAACTTACAATAGTTATAAACTTCCTCTTCTTTTTCGCAAACGCTATAATTCCAACGAGCGCCAAGATGGCCGATAGCGCTCCAATTATCAGAAGAATTGTCACGAACAATTTCTGAGCGGTAAGTCGCAACATTAACTTACTGTCTGCCAACATCCACATTGAGATAACAACTGCGGATATTCCTGCCAACTTTAACAATAAATTACTCATTTATTGGATTATATTAAGAGATATTTAATTAGTAAATTGATTAATGTTAATTATTATTACAAAGACCGCAGCGTTGATAGTGAAAAAAGAGACCCGCAAGCATTTCTTCGGCAGCCGCTTGTAGGATAATTTATAAACCGGGATTCCCAGAAAGTAATACTTCTTGTAAGAGGCCGCAGATTCTTCACTCTCGGATTCCTCGTCGACTTCCGACTCATCTTCGTCGTCCGTTGATTTTTCACGTCGTTTCATGCCTAATTTATCTCGGAAATGTTAACTTTGTTTATTTCTTAAAAAATATAAAAAAATGAATCACTAGTGTGAAGTTTTCTATTTACAGAAAAATAATTAAATTATTATAAATAAAGAAAAGAAATTAATACATTAAAAGTATGAGAGTAGGAGTAAAAAAATTAACAAGTTTATTATTTTTAGAGTAAAAAATATTATTATTATTATTATTATTATTATATATTTTCATAACTAAGTGACAAAAATTAAGCGCGTAATCTTTGCCGTGGCTCCTCTTCTATTTCATATTCAATTTCTACACGTGGTCGTTTCGGTTTCTTGGACTTGTCTTTCTTTTGTTTGGACAATTTGGGCTTCTTACTCGTCGAGGGAAGAGTTGCGTCCTCGATATCACTTGCGTCGGATTCAAAGTCGTCGGAAAGCTCTACTTGTTCTACTTGTCCCGATTCTCCGTCACTCTCCTAGAAAAATATTCAACTCATTAATATCTCATTTTAATATTTAAAAATAAATTAATTTAATAATTAATCTTACCTCTTCATAGTCGTAATTGTCGTCATCATCATCGTCGTCATCACTGTCTGCTTCAACAAACAAGTCACCATTTTCTTCCATCTCCATATCATCAGCTTCCAATTCTTCTTCAAGCTCCTTTTCCATTTCTGTCTCTTCCTATTTTTTTATTAATTTAAAAATATTAATTATATATAATTATACTCAGTTGATATTTTAAATTAAAAAAAAAAAAAGACAAACCTCAACATCAGATTCATCTTCAGCTTCAGCTTCACTGTCACCTTCAACTTCAACAGCTTCGACAGCTTTATCAAACACTTTTTGCGGGAAGTTGTAAATATCATTGTACTAAAAAATTAAAAAATAATTAATAAAATTCAAATAACAATTTTTTAATGATAATAATTACCATTCCACTCTTAAGTCTCTCCATAAGTTCCTTCTCAATAGCAGTCTCAAGTTTAGCAGCAATAAGCGCCTTTTCTTCTCGCCTAGTTTCTCTCCTCTCAATTTTCCTCTGCAGCGGCACAATCTTCTTCTGTCTTCTCAGCTTCAATTTTCTCATACGAATTAAATATTGAGTTATTTTCAAAAATCTCTGCTTACACTTGGACTTTATGAACCCGGGCCAGTACAGCAAATTTTCATTTATCTGGTGAATCGCTTTTTCAAAATTCCTCGACAACTTTACTTTTTCCCACTGATTCTTGGGTTCGTGTATTCTTTCAGCTGTTCTCATGTATAGGTAAATAATACCAGACTCCTCTCGTACAGTAGCATATCTACTGTTAGCCAGAGGGCATGAAGCCCTGCTGCAAAAACCTGTCAAGTTGTATTCATTTCTACAAAATCTTTGAGTCTTTGTACTAAAAAAAAAAAAAAAATACATTACATCATTTAGATATTCAATTTACTATAAATTTAGTTTTATAAAAAAAAAAACTTACTTGACTTTAAATGAACAAAATGTTTTATTAATAATACTCCAAACAACCTAAAACATAAATGATTATATTAATATTGATCAATATAATTTAATAATAATAAATAAAATTAAAGTTAGAAGTCATTTAATTTTTTTTATTATTTTATTTCATAAAAAAATTATTAAAAAAAAATCAATTTGTTACAAAAATTAATGAAAATTAATGTAGCAGATATTTGATAATTTAAAAAAATTTTTTAACAATTAAATTATGGCAAAAAAAAGTTGTCATATAGAAATAAGAAAAAATAAAAAAATGCAATTATTTAAAAATAATTTTTTTTAAAAAAAGTATTTATTAAAACAAATTAAAAAATGATTTAGTGACTGCTAACTTTAAATAATACTAAAGTTAGCCGACATTGTTAATTTTTGGAGTTTTTTTTTTATTTATTAAATTAGAACTAAATAAAATTTTTTAAAAAATTGCACTTGTAGTTTTTAAAGTTGTTTAAACATGAATTTTTTGTTTTTAATTTTTTACTAATAATTTTATTTATAAAAAAAATTCTAAAAATTTTTAAATGTCGACTAACTTAATTTTCATTAACTTTAATGTCATAAAAAATGATTAAATATCTGCTAAATTAATTTAAATTAAATAAAAAAATTACTTACATCGTCGTGTTGCATTTTTAAAAATTTAATTAATTAATTTATTAACAATTAAAACTTTTTTTTAAACAATATAACCTCTAACCACGTGTCTATTGAATTATTAGTTTACTACTGACTTGAAGAGAGCAGAATAAAGCTTAGTTTATTTTTTTACCGCAGGTGGCGCTCCAGCTAACTTCCATTCAAATTTAAAATTTTAACCGCCGGTCACACAGAAATCAGTTCAGAAAAACTGCTAGATGGCAGCACACGACAGATTTAACTTTTGTGAGCCAAGACAAATGTTATTGTTGTCATTATTATTATTATATGCGCGCGCGGCTGACTTTATGTTTATAAGAGTTTGTAAAAAGATCAATTATTCGTGTAGTAGCGCATACAGTGATATATACAGCGACAGCGACAGTGGGACCCTTTACTTCGTTTACTCCGTATCCGTACTAATACAACTACTTGTGCTCGTATTTGATAACTTGGTGTAGAGGTGGTTAACATTAAAATTAAGTTTCAGATGTTCGATGGTGGTGAGAACACGCTGGTGTAAAATTCGCGATTCGACAGCAATTTCCAATCTCCAGGAAACTGTCAATAAAATAATACTCCAAATCAGCTGTTTTAATATCATGTGAATGACAGTTGATTTTTTAAAAATAAAATAAGTATCGATCAGTCATCATGCTCCAAAATAACAAACAGATTATTGAGTACAAGTCCAACAATAATATTTTTTAATTAATTAATTAATAAATGGTATTAATGTTTGTGTTAACTGGATAAAAATATGAACGGGAGTTTAAGTGGACATCGTGGTCCCGAGCAACATCCGACAAGATTCGCGGATTACTTTGTTATTTGCGGACTTGACAAAGACTCAGGCCTTGAACCTGACAAATATTTTGGTAAGTTTCTATTATTGTTTTTTTTTTTTTAATTATATAAATAGTGCCAACAAATTATTATTTAATTTTATTAATTATATTTTATTATTGATCCTTTGTTTTGTTTTTATTATTTTTAAATGCTAATTAAGTTTGATAATTGCCTTTAGAATTAAATTTATTGCATAATTTGTGTGAAACTGAAACGGAGATTGCGCGAAGAAAAACTTTCAAGATTATTCATTTTTTTATATTAATTAATACCGGGAAGAAATTTTCAATTATAACTTTTATGATAATTATTATTGTTGGAAAGAAGATTTAATTATGACATTAGTTAGCAGTCACTTGATTATTTGTTAATTTTTTTTGACAAATAAATTTGTTCTAAAAAATTATTTTTAAAAAATTGCATTTTTAATTTTAACATGTCAGTTTTTTTTGTCATAATTTATTTGTCAAAAAAATTAAAAAAAAATTGCAATTTTAATTTTTAAAAATTTCTACATGTTAATTTTTTTTGCCATAATTTATTTGTTAAAAAAATTTTTAAATAATTAAATATCTACTAAATTAATTTTCATGATTTAATTATTAAATAATTTATCAGTAAACTTTTTTTAAAAAAATTATTTATTGATAAGAATCATAAATTTTTAAAAATTAAATTATCATTGAAAAACACATTTAAAGCGATACTAAAAAATGAATTTTATTTTTAGATAAAAGAAGCTAATAAATAAAAATTACACGTGTATAAAAATGTATTTTTTTTTCCAAAGAATCTATTTCGAAGTCATTCTTAAGTCACAAAGAAACTCGATTTTTTCGAGGAATAAAAAATCTAAAAGTAGGTTTTATTTGCTAAAAAACTAGGTAGATTCCTTTGTGACATACTCTTACATTTTTTATTATTGTTATTGTAGGTATTATTATTTTTATAGTAGTACGAGATGTTAGTGTGTGTGTAGAGAGGCTGGATTACGCGCAAACAATGCAGACTGTGGACCTAAGGAAGCAACAGATCGTGTTGAAAGAATGAGAAACTTTTGAGTTCTCTGTACTATACACCCGTATCCCCTATCTAAACGATATCGTATGAGCAATAGTAACTCAAGCTTAAGTTATCATTTTGATAATAAAGATGCTTTATTTTTTTTCACAGAACTCTTGAGTGTATTTGTGTGGAAGATCGACTTTCTATTTCTATAGAGAAGCTCGGAAGAACATCTGTACTCGTGAAATTCTTAAAAAATATCCCACGTGTGGTTCACATTTCACGCACATCAATATCCTGTACATGCAGATGTATTCAATGGCCAGCTAACTTTTTTTCTCGCAACCGATAAATTTTTTTGAAGGAAAAAAAAACGTTTGGAGTACATATTTAATTACTTGACAAAGAATTCCATTTAATGGCTAGACGTGTAATCTATTTTTAAGTTCTTAATTGTCGTAAAATAAACGAGTGTAATAGATATAAGTGGCATTGACATCAGCTGCTCGTTTGGTATTAATATATACGTCGTATTACATCTCGGCCCTGACAATTATTAATAATTAAAATTAGTAATTTAATTACCTATCCTTGATAGGCACTAATGATTCGATGACACAATAGCATTGAACTGCTTGTTAAGAGGGATAGTCACTGTGAAATTAAAAAAAAATTTTTTTTTTTATTAAATCAAAGTTTGTACACTCAAAAACATCTATCTAGAGTTGTACTTTATTTTATTATATTCAAAAAACAAACCCAACAGCTTAATCCATTAACAGGGTTAATAGATACATTTTTTATAAAATTTTTATATAAAAATTTTGAATATTTTTCGGGTTATAGTCATTTTTGTAACAGCGTGTCAAATGACCATTTCAAAATCCCCTTTGTGGAACAATAACCATATGTATGCAGATTACAAATGAAAATTAATGTAGCACATATTTAATAATTTTAAAAATTTTATAACAAATAAATTATGGCAAAAAAAAAAATAAGAAAAAAAAATGGACATCTAGAAATTTAAAAAAATAAAAAATGCAATTTTTTAAAAATAATTTTTCAGAACAAATCTTTATGTTAAATAAAATAAAAAAAATTTCAAGTGACAGCTAACTTTAATGTCATAGATTACAACGCAGTTTGGTTTTTTTTGGTTTAGATAATCCGTTTTTGAGTTAGTGGGGAAAATTTTTTTGGTGCTCCACAAAAATGCTTATAACTTTGTAACAACATGATATTTTTTAATCAAACTTTAGGAGAATTATTATCTTCAATATACACTGAGAAAAAAAAATACTTTTACTCAATTAACAATTTCTTGGTTCAAGAAATTCGAATAAAAATAAAGTTAGCCGACATTTCAAAATCTTTAGAAATTTTTTATTGAAAAAATTTCAATAAAACAATTTAAAAAAAAATTTCACATGTAAAAAAACTTGAAAAACTATAAGTGCAATTTTTTATAAATATCTTTTTAGTTGTAATTTAATTCTTGAATTAAATCAAATTTACTTAAGCCAAGAAAAATTTCTTAGTTTAAGAATTTTTCTACTCAATTCAAGAAGGTAAAATTCTTCAAAATTAATTACTTGATTCAAGTTAATTCTTTTTTCTGTGCAGTGGCTATCCTCCTTAATTTTTATATATAGTCTATATATCTATTTACTATTTATTTTATATTTTATAACTCATGATAAAAAACAAGCGGCGTTTATATTATAAAATCGGAGGCACGGCGACTTTCACTGATATAAAAGACAATTTTTATTTCCGCCTCGACTGCCGTTTCACATTACGCAATTAATGAACTGATAGTTGGTTACTAGATGCTGTTAATTGTAGTATTAGAATATTATTAGATAAGAACAGTTATTAAATCTCAATATCCGGGTTTAAACCTACTGTACGGATGAAGGTACAAAGGCCAACAGCAATAACAAGGGCAACTATCCCTTTACATTATTCCCAGACAAGCTCACTGAGCTATATTAAGTTCCACTGATAGAAAGAAAAAATGGTATAGGGAAATAAATGCCCTAAGGACTCTCGCTGACTCATATGTGATATATAATAATAATACTATTAGTTTACACATCCATTAGTCATACACCACACATGAGCTACCCATTAAAACCCATAGTATTTTTTTAATTTCAATTCTAAAGACTAAGATCGAAATATTTATTTTTAAATTTAGTTTATTGTTATTATAATACAGAAAGGTCATGTGTGTTATGATAATTTTTTTTTCTGGTTTAAAAATACAAATTTACAAAAATAATATTTTTATATATACAAATAAATCGATCATTAAATTTAGCTAATTTATTTATAAATCTCCTGACATTATTTAACCACTAAATAACGAAGCAATTGTCTCCGCTCAATTAACTTTACTGACGACAACGTAATTTTTTTTTGTTAACCAATACAAAGATGTATTTATTATATCACATTATATCTTCATTTATATATGTATATATATTCAGTCTAATATGATAATATTTTTTTATGTAAATAAAACGATTGATATCAATGACCTTTGAGAACCGTTCGAGTAAACTTTTAAATATATAATATGCCTTTGATAGAGTCTTCGGGCTTATTAAATTCATCAGACCAGATATAATGTGTATCAATCTCAATAAATACTTTTTGGTTGGTATTTAAATGAGAGCCTTGATTTTGCATAACTACATAATTTTATTTATTATTGTTATTTTTAACATCATTAGAAAAGTAAACGCTTGAATAAACTCTTTAAGGTCTAGAGTTTATGCGATAGATAAATAAGCGCGTGGTACGTCTTTAATAAACATACATACTGTTAATTAACTCACACATAAATTACGACCGTGAACTTTTAATCTTGAAAAAAAATTATCTACCCTCTGGTATAAAATATAATTTTTCTTTTTTTTTTTTTACTACGTATTAATTGTTATTTTTTTTTTTTTTTCAGGAGATTCATTGCAGAGTACACCATTAGACCGTGCTTACAAAAGCAAAGTATTGGGTCACTATCCAGATTCCGTTCCCTGGAACCCATTTGATGAGCATGCAGTCTGTATGGTAAATAAAATCCTTTTTATTTAATTATTTATTAATTTATAAGATCATGGTATTACATCCACTGTCACCATACATCGTAGTAACAAAGTAATTTAGTTATTAGCTTAAATTCTACTATGATTCAAAAATAGAAAAGAAAATTTTTTTTTTCTTTCAAGAACAAAACATTACTAATAATACTAACTAACAACCTTGCAGTCACTATGTGACTGCCGAGACTTGTAACTTAATTATAAATTAATTACAATTTTGCTTCATTAAATAATGACTTTTGTTAAATTGCACTGTACTTTTTTAACTATTGACTTTTTTAAAGTTATGAGCTCATCCCAATGTTACCACTCATCAAGAGCTTTCATTTGAGTACCCACATGCATTTTTATATATTTTTCATATATTTACATATATATAAATATATGAAATATATGAAAAATTGATGTGAGTACTCAAATGAAAGGTTTTGATGAGTGTAACATCAAAATGAGCTTATATCTTTAACAATTTAAATAGTTCACAAGATACAAGGTCGTTTCTTAATTACATTAAATTGCACTGTACTTTCTTAACTATTGACATTTTTGAAGTTTTCATATATACATATATATGATATATATAAATATATGAAAAATTGATGTGGGTACTCAAATGAAAGGACTCGATGAGTGTAATGTCAGAGTGAGCTTATATCTTTAAAAATGTCAATAGTTCACAAGATACAAGGTCATTTCTTGATTATGTGTCTAGTAGAAATAGAGCATTTTCGAATACAGCCTAAATACCTATCATAAATTGACTATTGGTGAGAACGATATGTAACCATAAAAACTCATTTTATCATATAAATACCCCGCCAAAAAATTTTGCTTATTCTCTTAATAATATGGATAATAATTATTTATCTTCCCTACTAGTTATGTCTCCCCAGCGGACTGAGATTTCGCACCCAAAAGCACTCAGTAGAGCCTTCTTTCCACTCGTTCGTCCTGACCAAGGAAGATGGCCGGAGAACTTACGGGTTCAGCTTGGTCTTCTACGAAGAATGCCGGAACCGAAAGATTTGCGCTGCAATGCAAACTCTCCAGGCTATGTTTATCACTGAGCTCAGCAGCGGACAAAATGGGACTCCTCCAGCGTAAGGATTATTATGCTACTCTTACATAACAATATTAATATCAATATCAATATCAATAAATAGATATTTATGGTAATAATAAATTTATTTGTAGACCTCGGAAAGGCCAGGATCCTCATAACACCCGATCACTGCCGAGACACTTCAAATTGTCAGCTCACTCGCCTGGGGCCGCAATGGCCTATTACGATTCAACAAAAGACAAACTGCTGGTAACCAAATCGATATCGCTGCTGTGTCAGCAACCTTACCTCCACGCTGCTCGTACATTCCTAACGAATCTCTACAAGTATGCATTAATCATTAAATATTAAATGTACGGCCTGCGGGTTGCTCATTGTAATTATAATTATTTAATTTCAGATGTGTTCCCAGACATCCAGGACCGGGTCTAAGTCTCGAGTCCTATGTCTACAATCTCCTGTACAACGTGCCAGTTCCATTGCCCGGAAAATCGCTTAAATTTTTCGTCCCCAATGACGAGCCGGCGAAATCACCTCTGGAGCTGGTTATTCTGTATCCTTGTCCCGCCACGGAACTTCCTCTCCTCGACTATCCCATCAGAGACATGTTTATGTGGCTTGGCCCAGAGACAGTTATTCAATTATTCACATGCGTACTCCTGGAGAATCAAGTGCTCGTTCGTAGCACCGATTTTCATAAACTTATGGTAGTTGCTGAATGCATTACTGCTCTTCTTTTTCCCTTCTCGTGGCAACACGTCTATGTACCTATATTACCGGCAAGTCTTCATCATTTTCTTGATGCTCCTGTACCTTTTATTATGGGGCTGCATGCCCAAAGCGAAGGGAGTAATTTAAAAATAGCCAGTGAGGTAAATTATTTTTTTTTTTTAAATTAAATAAATTAAAAATTTATTTAATTAAAATTAAATAAAAATTAAATTTTTTATTATTTATTGATTTTTTTTTTTTTTTTTTTTTTTTTTTTTTTTTTTTTCAGGCAAACCTTTGTTATGTAGATATCGATAAACAAACTAGTCAATTCCCGGAAGAGTTACCAATTTTTCCAAGAAAAATGCAATTCCTCGCTGAGATTAAAACACTTTTAAATAAGTACAAAGTACCCCATTCTGAAAAGTAAGTTTTTTTTTTTTTTTTTTTTTTTTAATTAAATTTTTATAAAAAAAAATTTATTTTAATTTTTTTAACAGGACTGACAATATGGTCATAAATTATTTAAACTCGGATATAATGACGAGTAGTTTAACACTTCCTGGCTCGGGTTTTCACGTTCCAAGAAGAAAACACTCTCTTCACGACGTTCTGGATTGGGACAATAAATTAGACACTAACAACTCTACAACAACAGTAGCACAGTCTGACGCATTGCAGAGAATTGTTGATATCGTTAAAAAAACAGGCATAAGCCTCGATGATATTGACGCTGTTGAAAATATGACCAAAGATGAAGTAATACTCACTCCTAAAGAAGAATACCAACAGACATTAATTTTTAATAACGCGATCAGAGAAATTTTTTTCAACCGCTTTGTACAATTATTCGCCGGCTATGATCATTTTGTCATTCATCCAAGTCAAGTTAGTATTTTTTTTTTCTATACATTAATATTATTATTATTATTATTATTATTATTATTATTATTATTATTATTATTGCAGGATAAAGATGAATGGCTCAATAATCGAGATAGTATGCATGTATTTGACAAAGCGACATTTTTATCAGACCAACCAGCCCAACATTTACCTTTTCTATCTCGATTTATCGAGACTCAGATGTTTGCGTCCCTCGTTGATACAAAAGTTATGTCATCTTGGAATGAATTAGACTCTAATATTAAAGTTTTTGACCAAAGAATTGCACAAATAAAGTAAGTATTTTTTTTTTTTATGGTAACAATAATTAATCAATACTAAATTTAAAAAAATTTAACAGAAAAAAAGGAGGAGATGGAATGATTCGCTCGACGCGTTATCAAGTATCGAATAACATTCCAGAGACAGAAAAGTCACTGATAAATAAATTAACCAACATCGACTTTGAAGCAAGTCCTCCGACAGAGATACTCCCTCACAGGGCTGCTTATTTCAGAAGTTTTCCGCTGCTTGATACTGTAGCGCTCAACAAAGAACCCGTTCAAAGGTTTGTTATTATTAATTAATGTCTTAATCTTTAATCAATTAATACTTATTAAATTTTATTATATTAAATTTGTTATGCTTTGTGGAATATAGTATATTACGGTAAGGAATTAATATTAAAAAAAAAAAATAATAGTAATATTTGTTAATAATAATTAATTTGAATTTTTTAAAATTGAGTAGCAGCAGAAAAGGCCAAACTCAGTGGAAGTACAAAATGAAATCTCTAGAGGCAAATGGAAAACCACCGACGCCTCAAGAAACTCAGTCACCGCGACCTCAGACAAAATTATCAGCTGATATGAGTCCTGCTTTAATTGCCCAGGCCAATTGGACATTTGTAGAAAAATTGCTGAAGGTAGCAAAAAATTTTTTCTTTATTAAAAAAATTTTTTTTATTAAAATAAAGAAATAATTTTTTTATTAAAAAAAAATATTTAAAGTTAAAAAATGAATTTTTTTATTTTAAGGATTGCAAGTCTAAAACAAAACGAATGCTAGTAGAAAAAATGGGCTCGGAAGCAGTAGCTCTTGGTCACGGAACCGAATCTCTGGTTGATGTTGAAGAAAACACCTTGGTAGCAAGTCTGTGTGATTTATTAGAGCGAGTTTGGAGCCACGGTCTGCAGAACAAACAAGGCAAAAGCGCTCTTTGGTCTCACCTGTCCATGTATCAAGAGTTGGAAGAGTGTAATGACTCTGCTAAGTCTATCGATCCGAACTTTTTATCACCCGGTAAGTCTAAGCTCACTAAAATAAAACCATTTTAAATTATAATTATAAAATTAAAGCTTTTTAATTGTAAATGTACTTAAATTTATTATTATATAAGAAATAATTGTAATATGTATAAATTGTTAATATAATGCAGCGTTAGCTTGGTGCGTTCTACGGAAGCGACTTGACTGTACGTCATTAATGCAATTATTATTGTTATTTTTATTAGTCGTAGCCCGGTAGAATCGACAAAATTATTTGCAAGCTAATTTATCACACTTGTATTTTATTATCACGTTGATTTTATTGCACAATATTTTTTTTTTTTAATTATTATTATTATTATGTAAATTTAATTACAAAGCATGGTAGAGTTATATTGTTATTATTTATTACTTTTTTTTAGTCTTTTTGTTTTAATTTTTGTTTAATTAGACCAGAAACCATCGAATAAATCTTTCACATTAAAGGATCGTCTGTTGTCATCGATAAAAACGAGAAATATATATGAGATAGCTTCTTATATCAAGGAAAATTTTAATGGTAAATTTTAAGTGTGTTCCTGATCAATCTGGGAAGAAAATAATTTTTTTTACTGCATCTGTTGCAATGAATGGGGTGCAAAATAAATTATTTATGATAATAAAAAATGCACGAAGCATGTTACATGTTTGAATACAAGCTTTACTTGTTAAATCCGTTTTATTGAGTGTTTTTTATTTGCCATGTTATGCTCGTTAAATTATTTAAAATACCAAACAAAAGTGGGATGGTACTGATTAAAAATGTATTTACAGATTTATCTAACCTGGCGCTGGAAACAGACGTATCGCCGACCAGAGGAACCGCTGATAGGAATAGATCCACCGGGGAGCGAAAATCAATTGGGCCTGAACATCTGAGGCCTCTTCCAGACTCGTTGACGTTTGATATTAGAAATGTACAAGCTATGACGGAGATTAAAACTCATATTGGGTATGCCAGAGCGTGGGTCCGGTTGGCTTTGGAAAAAAAACTTCTTTCTCGTCATTTGAAAGTGCTGCTGTCTAATACTACTTTGTTAAGGTAATTTTTCTTTTTGTAATTTTGGTTAATTACGACATTGTATCTCCAAAAAAATATTGAAGCTACAATTTTTTTCTTATGATTTTTTCAAAAAATCAATATTTCAGGAGTTATAATCATTTTTTTTAGTAACCAAATAATGATTTTTCATTTTTAACCATATGAGGATTATTTAAGTGATTATATCTCCTAAAATATTGAAGATAGCCCTATCATATAAAAACGTTTTTTGTAGGAAATTTCATGAGCTACATACAATTTTTGTCTCATTATTTTTTGATAAAATTAATATTTCAAGAGTTGCAGCCATTTTTATAATGACTAGATCACAATTTTTCATTTTTTTGTATCTGAGTATTATTTAAGTTATAAATTAAATTATATCTCTTAAAATATTGAAGACAGCCCTATAGTATAAAAACGTTTTTTATAGGAAATTTCATAAGCTACAATTTTGATCTCCTAATTTTTTGATAAAATCAATATTTCAAGAGTTACAGCCATTTTTAATTTTTATAACTAAATCACCCTTTTTAATTTCTAACTTTTTGAGGCTTAATTAAGTTAATATATCTCCTAAAATATTGAAGATAGCCCCATAGTATAAAAACAATTTTTGTATGAAATTTTCTAAGCTACAATTTTGATATCATAATTTCTTGATAAAATCAATATTTCAAGAGTTACAGCCATTTTTATGATGACTAAATAATGATTTTTCATTTTTAACCATACGAGCATTATTTAAGTAATTATATCTCCTAAAATATTGAAGCCCCATAGTACAGTGATATTTTTTATAGGAAATTTCATAAGCTACAATTTTCATCTCATAATTTTTTCCAAAAATCAATATTTCAAGAGCTATAGCCATTTTTATGACTAAATAATGATTTCTCATTTTTAACTTTTTGAGCCTTAATTAAGTAACTATATCTCTTAAAATATTGAAGATAGCTCCATAGTATAAAAACATTTTTCATAGAAAATTTCATAAGCTACAATTTTCATCTATAATTTTTTCTCAAAACTCAAAATTTCATAAGTTATAGCCATTTTTAAACTAACTAAAAAATCACTTGATATTTTATTATTTTTACTATCTAAAAAAATTATTTTTTAGGAATCAATACAAAAGATCAGCATTTCTCCGCTGTGAAGAAGAAAAGGAACAATTCTTGTACCACTTACTAACCCTCAATGCCGTAGATTATTTTTGTTTCACCAACAATTATCCAACAACAAAATTACCCTACCGAGTGATAATCTTCCCAAGTAGAAAAGCGAGCGCAGCTACAACATCTGCCAACGGATGGATAGTAATCTCAGGAACTCTCTGCGAAACAAACCCCGTGGGGATACCAAAAGGTACCCTGGAGTTCGTGTTCCACCACAAAAACCTCGGAGTACTGTCCACATTACGAATCGGGCATGACAACTCCGGAATATCTCCCAAATGGATGGTCGAGCACGTAGTTGTAAGAAATGAGGTGACCGGACACACATTTAAATTCCCCTGTGGCCGCTGGCTCGGCCGAGGAATTGACGATGGCTCTACCGAGCGCTTACTTGTGGGCGCTTTGGTCCCCAGAAGCATTGACAGCGACGAATTGGTTGAAACTTGCTCGACACCTCCGCGGTGCAGGTCGCCGAGTATTCCGCGAAACAGACCTAGTTTATCAGCTGACGTGCTGCAGCACGTGCTTGGGGAAGCGGTCAATGCAATAGTTAAGTTCCACTACCGTCGAGACCCTCAAGATGGATCACTCACTGCTCTGTTGTGTGGCGAGGGTGGACTTGTTCCTTCTCTGGAACAAACTTTTCTTTATGGGTTCAAAAATCAGCGGATTTTTGGGAGGAATTTTTATGTTTGGGATTATTTTTTGAGGGTTAAAGAAAATTTTGAAATGTCACTTTTGGAGGAGATGGACGAGTACTCGAAGAGACTCAATAGAGACAGAAGGCTTCATGCGGAAAATAATCAGAGGTTTACTATCTTTCGATGCTACTGTCATCTTATTGATCAGATCAATACTTTTAGTCATACTCTGGGAAAAGATGGGAAATTTCAATTGTTTATATGTTTAGCTGCAAGGTAAATATAATACATATTATATTATTATTATTATTATTATTATTATTATTATTATTAAATTTTTATTATTTTAATAATAACAAGTATTATCTTTCAAGCTAGATGATAATTTTTTTTTACTAGTATGTGAGCATTATTTAAGACACTGTATCCCCTAAAATACTTGAGATAGCTCTATAGTATACAAACGTTTTTTTATAGGAAATTCAATAAGCTACAATTTAAAAGCTCATGATTTTTTGATAAAATCATTATTTTAAGAGTTACAGCAATTTTTATAATGACTAGATAATAATTTTTCATTTTCAACTTTTTGAGCATTAATTAAATTACTATATCTTGTAAAATACTGGAGATAGCCCCATAATATAAAAATATTTTTTATAAGAAATTTAATAAGCTACAATTTAGATTTGATTAGATTATTTATTTATTTATTTATGCCAAAGCCTGCTGGCCAAATGGCAAATAAAAATAACAAAAAATACAATTAATTAAAAATTTACAATATTAATATCAATAATTTACAAAGCAAGTAAAAATAAAAAATACAATTTATTAAAAATTTAAAAATATTAATAATAATAATAATAATTTATCGATTTAGATCTCATAATTTTTTGATAAAATCAATATTTCGAAAGTTACAGTCATTTTTTATGATGACTAGATAATAATTTTTCATTTTTTTTTTAATCTGAGTATTATTATTTAGGTTATAAATTAAATTATATCTCCTAAAATATTGAAGATAACTTAATAGTATAATAACGTTTTTTATAGGAAATTTTATAAGCTACAATTATGATCTCATGACTTTTTTCCAAAAATCAATATTTCAAGAGTTACATTCATTTTTATGACTAGATCAAGATTTTTCATTTTTAACTTTTTGAGCATTAATTAAATTACTATATCTTATAAAATATTGAAGATAGCCCCATAGTATCAAAATGTTTTCTGTAAAAAATTTTATAAGCTACAATTGTTGTTTAGTGATTTTTTCCAAAAATTAATATTTCAAAAGTTACATTCATTTTTATAATGACTCAATAATGATTTTTCATTTTTTACTTCTTGAGCAGTAATTAAGTTACAAATTAAATTATATCTTCTAAAATATTGAAGATAGCTAGCTCCATAGTATAAAAACGTTTTTGATAGGAAATTTCATAAGCTACAATTTTGATTTCATAATTTTTTAATAAACTTAATATTTCATGAGTTATAGTCATTTTTTAAGTAACTAGCCAATGATTTGATATTTTATTAAAGAGTTTATAATTATTGTTATTATTATTTTAGGGAACAACTTCTTCATCCAATGTTACGTCCAATGAGTGATGCCCGATCAACAGCAGAAATGTACGAAGAAACTTCATTTTTGCGAAATCCAACATTACTAAATTTCCTAATCCACATCTTGGAGCCGTTGAGCGAGTTTCACATTGTCCTTGAAAAGAGTCTAACCCACGGAATTTCAAGTATATGCTAAGTTTATCAAGTCCAGGTATAATAATTAAACTAATCGTTACCTGAGGAAGCCAAAGTTTCTTCATTTAATTTAAAAATACAAAGAAAAGATATATATATATATATATAAAAAAATACTTGAAAATTAAAATCTTTATGAACAAGAGTGGAGAATAAAAATTGTTAATGATATTGATATATAATTAAAAGGCAATTTAACTAGATCGCGTTGACTAAAGACTGTCCAGCGTAATTAGAAGTTGGTAGCGAACGTTTTAATTATTATTAATTAAAATAAACATAATTAAATTTATAATTATGTAGTACATAACAGCTATGTCAATAGAAAATCTTGTCTTGGATCCAACCAAAGATATTATAGTAATTTTTTCAATTAATTAATTAATGTGATTTTATGAAATTTTAACATGACATTTTAAATAATTCTTTTTATTTTAATTACGTAATTTTTTTTTTTTTTAAATAATTTAAGTAATTACATACTTAATAAGGTATGTACTATTACATAATTATAAAGGCAAAAAAACTCATTGCCATTTTACTCAAAAATTAAAATTTTTTACGACACTTGCCATAAATTATTTTCACTTTATTTTTTATTATTATTATTTGTAGTAGTAGTAGTAGTAAAAAAATATAAAGTGATAATTAATAAGTTTATAAAAAAAAAATTAATATTAAAAATTATAGCAATAATTTTGTGTGATATTAAATGTTTTATGTTACTTTTAATAATTTTAATAAGTATCGATCTCGAAAATTGCATTTTTAAAAAATAATATATGTGATTAGATCGATTAATTTTTAATAAATAATTCGCTCTTTTAATTGTTAATTAAAAACTTGATTTTTATTGTATTTATACTAAGTGTCAATGCACAAGCAGACTCATTTTATTAATATCCATTTATCCCGATGCCAAAATTTTTTTTAACTTAAAAACTGAGACATCGTTTGAATAGATTAATTAAAATTGCTAAACGCTTTTGATTTAATATGGATATGTATAGTTAAATATATATATTGAAGAAAATATTAAAAGACCACTGGCTATGTGTATATACAATAATAAATTATATGAGATTAAATTTGGATAAATATACAACCAAAAATAATTTTACAATTAAATACAGTATGTATATAAAATTAAGTGTTGTATTGTACAGTAGATATATATATATATATATATATATTAAATTGATAATAAATAATATTAACAGTGTAAAATAATTGATTTTTTTTTATCCTAAAAAAAAAATAAATTTTTTTAAAATTAATCTATATTATTAAGAGAATAAAAATTTTGTTTTCAGGATAGTCATATGATAAAATATCTCTAGATACATATTTAAGAAATTACCTTTTATCTTGAGAAATATTGATATTTTTAAAGATATAAACTCATCCTGATGTTACACTCATCTAGACCTTTCATTTGAGTACCCACATCAATTTTTCATATATTTTGTATATTTATATATATTATATATATATATATGTATATGTGAAAAATATATGAAAAATGCATGTGGGTACTCAAATGAAAGCTCTTGATGAGTATAACATC